AACACTGAACTCGAAGTCGATAAATAATGATTGTGTATGTTCTGCTTAACCGCACTTTTTGTTTAAGATGCTTTAGTGTCCCCGTTGCAATAATCCTACATGCTCAACAACTTTAGTTTGTGAAACTAAAAATCAAAGTGGATCAGTTTGTGCCCAAAACCACTGACGCCGAAGTGGTAATTCCAGAGATATTGGCCTACACTTGGCTCATAAATCCAGGCCAACGGCAGAGTTGTATTCGCTGTCAAATGGAGTATAGTGGAAGTCTGCTTCTACGGATCAGCGAATTCCCCGGGTTGAAGACCAATTCATCCGTAAGTGGTAGTTTCGTTCTGTCCATTTTTCCATAGAAGGACTGGACAGGTATCAGCGCAAGCTGCTATCCACAACGACTTTGAAAAACAGTGAATAGTCAACTCCTAGTCAGTTTTTAAAGATTAAAATTCAGCTGGTTATTATGCTAAGATTTTCCTCCTTCTGTTGCAAATTTTGGTTAGAATATTCGTCATTTTAAGGTCCGCTTTGACGTGCATCTGAACTTTCAGGAATAACTAGCGAGCTACCTATAAGTAGTCGGCGTTCTTATGAAGTTTCTTCAGGTTATAATCCAATATTTAATTAGTTATATTCAAAGCAATTTTTCTGTAGTCAGTTTGTCCAACCACCTTTCTTTTGTAATATACAGGACGCCATAAGCATGTCATTTTTCTGGCGCTTTATGGGTTGTAACACCAGCAATCGTGAAATAAAACACGTGACATGCAGTAATGTACACTGTGATACATTGGTACTTCCAAGAGGAGAATGAAAACCGTACCCATCAGGGGCCCCAGTTCTAGCGAACTACGGGTACTGACACTTACAAAGTTCTTCCCTTTTTGATAGACTGCCCAGTTCTAGCGAACTACGGGTACTGACACTTACACAAGTACTACCTTTTGTGATAGACTGGTCCACCGAAACCTCAAAATAAAACTGAGGTAAGCTATCAGTCTGCTGCTTCAGAATCACAGTCAAGCAGACCGTAAAACAACAACTTCCCGGAAATTAAAACGGGATCGATTTGGAGGACGCCAAATAACTGAGAACTGTCAACTGGTTCAAGTTCATCCTGAAAAACCCAACAACTCAATGACCGGCCGAAGCATAAGTCTTTTAATCAAGCTACGTAAGAGAGAAGTAAGTTTTGAGTAAGCGAAGTTACGCACAGTAGAGTTTTCGCCACCTCCTCGCACGGTCCATCAAGGACATGCTGGCAACGAGCTAGTGAACATGAACTGCTATCTGGAATTCAAAGGATATAAATCGGTCGCATGCACGAGCCAGAACATATCTGTGTAGGAACATTTGTTCACTTGCATGGCACCGTGTTTTCCTTTGCTCTCCCGAAGAAAAACACAACTTGTAGCTCTGTAGACGGCTGTCTTTATTCCCGTTAGCAGTTTACGCCGAGTTCAAGTGTCTAAAGTAATTCTCTCCAACCTGCATGCCCTTACAAGCATTCGGACACATTGCGGCTTTAACCTAGCAGTATATTTGGTCTTTGATTCCGAGATGCTTTCCGATTACGTTTATCGATCAGGAACATTTGGAGGAGCTCATTTCATAAAACGTCACATGGGATCAGAGATCTTGTAGGCGACTAGTTCACATATCCACTGACAAGGAGAATATTGATCCAGGCACATTCAGGCCTAGTGAAGTGACTTAACCCAATTTCGGATTTCATTGTGGCCAGCGTCTACAAGCAAGCCGGTAGCACACCACTGAGCAGTGACAAACAAATTGTAGCGTCTATTGGTCGACCGATGAACATATGGACCAAGGGTTTTCATCCAGTGTCTTGCACATCACACTAGAGTATTCCTCTTATACATGTGGTGCACAACCCTGAAGTTTTCTTTGCACCATGTCAAAACGACCCTTGGCATTCATGCCACCACGTACGTAAATTGTCCCCGTATTTCAGTACCGGATATCTCCGGGCAGTTGTGTATTACATTCCAAAGTCTCCCAGTTTGCAAAACACCGACGCTGGTCATAGCCATCTGACTTAAAAATAATTGCCACAGCAACACTACCGAATAGAAATTCAGCCGGTCATGGTAGAAGACGGAGAGATGCCCTGCTCGTAAAGACCTATTTGAATCGATTTCAAAGTGCATTATGCCAGTAAATAGCTTGATTTATAGTTTCAAGTGCAGTGTTTTCAACTTGGACTAAGAACTTTCCTTCTTGCCACGAAATCCGTGTGGCTAAAGCGTCTCCTTTATTGTTGGAGATCGGTTCTGCTCATTCAGAGTTGCATGTTTGCAAGTTTCACCTAGGCTCATTTTGGTTCACATCCTCAGTTCACAGATATTTACAACGCCATGCGCCAGAAATTTGTCGCTGTACTCCCAACGGATGGACTTCACACTGAAACCGCCAACAAGGATTTCAAAAACTTGTGCAAAATATGGGTTAACCAGGCAACCTAAATTGAGACTAGCGATGTAGACACTGGCGACACCATCGGCCTGTGGTGACGAGCATTTTGGAAGCCACTATGAAGGCGAAAACCAGAGCTTTTTTACTTCACTAAGAAATGGACTATCCAATTAGTAACAGCTGTTTTATTCAGTACAGAAGTATAAAACAATCCGTGACTTCAAACAAAGATCGACCAAGTGCACTTGTCACAGAGCCAGCCACATAGTGGTCCAGTTAAGAACATATGTTTGAACTATCACTGAAGCAGTCAGGGTGGGGAACAGTTCTGCTTGTAATCTACTAAACGCCAGTGGCTTTGCACCAAACTCAGATATCCTCAGAGTGCAGCACGTATATTTTGACTGGTTTCTTGGACGTTGGCACAACACCGTACCGGCTTTTTCGACGTTAAAACAACGGACCTAACAAAACGCCGGCAATAGTCAGTTAACTGCTCAATATGATAGCCTTGGGATATCCATCGGTGGCTTGGTTAACTTACCAAAAGTTATCAATACTGAAAAACAAGGAACACGCTCCGTGCGAAATACCCTCATTTGCAAACAAATTTGGTTTTGCGAGAGACTCACTTGGGACCCAGCTTAAACTCCCGTTTGTGATGTTTCTGGGAAACTGAATGTGCTACACCAGGCCGTCTCATGATTCAGTTGCTACGATATTCAAGATATCGCGTTAAATGTATATTCGTAATGCACTACTCATAAGGTTGCTGAAAATTCTTCGATAGCCCACGACCGGTTTCGCCGCGCTTGCGGCTCATTGTGATATCTCGAACATCGCAGAAACTGAAACATCCAAAACGAGAAATTCACTTGCGTCCCAGGTGAATCCCACGAAAAACCAAGTTCGTTTGCAAACGAGTGCATTAGTGCATTTCGCTAAATTCGTACAATTTGGTTTCAAGTAAAACATAACGTTGACGGAAATTCGGGGACTGCGCCTACTCGATGAGTCCCAACGAGGGCAAAACCGGTCGTGGGCTGTCGACAAATTTTCAGCAACCTTATGAGTAGTGCAGTAAGAATATACATGCTAACTAGTTTCGCTTTGGGGCATTACGACAGAGTTGACGTGCAACACCTTTCAGTCACAGAAAGGGGTCGCTACACAGCACAGTGTTGAGTACTACGCAATGTGTTTAGTGACTCCGTATTTGGTAAGGTTGTCTGTCATTCCAACCTTAAGATCCGGATCCAATGTACATGGGTGAAAACTAAGACAGAATTGACTGCTGCTTGGGGCTATAATAGAAATAAACCACGTTGGTCGTGGTGATGCATCTGCCACAGTTGCTTATTTCCGATCCGACCACTTCCATCATCCAGTAGTTGTTCTCAACGAACCGCGAGTGCGATGCGCACATTCACATCGACCATTCTTGTTCGGTTGTTTATTTGTTTTTTTGACTGGATGAGTAATTTAATGGAGTTGTTACACCTTCTACTCTGATTCACGAACCTCTTCAGCAAGGCTTCCTAACACATTCGGCCCCTTTATTTCTTTTGGTGCTTTTCCTGTGTATTTCTCCTGTAGATTATATGGGTTTCGAAGACAAGTGGCATAGTGAAGCACCTCTTTTTGGGGGCAGCGAAATACAGCGCTCCGAATACTCCCTTGCTGTAGGACGTTGCGCAATGGTCAACATTTTGCCACCTACTAAGCATCCTTATTCACCTTTGGCGATTCGAGAAAGTTTATCCACTCAGAATCGAAACAAACACAAAGTTGGGTGAAATCCAAAGGAGACCACACCTCTAACTTCTCCCTAATTGGTGATGAAACGCTGAAATCCAATCCTCAAGCTCAACCAACGACAAAGAAGGGTATGGAGGACACCCACAATCCGTAACATTGCCAGGAACTAGCACGTGTGTTATCCCACGATTTGCGAGACCCTCGGTATCCGTTGTTAGCCTGGCAACGTGATAAAAAAATGCTTGAAAACGAATGTGTTGTACACAACAAACAAAGATGGTGACAAACGTACCTGCCGAAAGTGCACTTAATCAACTATACGATGCTGATCACAAAAAATTTCCAGTTTAGTTGCTAGTAGACGAGTGGTATTACTAATGCGACGAAATTTTTTTCAGGAAATCATCACACTATCTGATTGAAATCACCCTTTATTTTCAATTTTTAATGATCCCCACGGAGGACCTGATAGGTGCCACGTATCTCTAATTTGGATTCGAATGTCCAGAAGAGCTATTTACTTTTCTTGAAATCAACATTCCTAGATCCCAGATCGCTCATTCGTTGATGATATTCAACATATGCGATAAAGCGAGGAGAGATTGTAGCATTTATGGGGAAAACGACGATGTACCATGCTACCACAAGTGCCTGTTATCCACTATTATCACAATCATTTTTCCTTGATAACCTAGATTACGGAGAACCAGCAACTACTACGGACCCAACCCTCAAGTTTTGTGTGCCTGAAGAAATACTACTCAAAACACGACAGATCACAGAACTCAACGTATCCAAGACCCCAAGGTAATAGCAAATTGAAAGTCAAGCTAGAAAGCATATTGTTTGCACCCGCATATCGTTAGAATGAGCACGGAAGCAAGAGAGTGTAGGGAAGGTGAGCAAATGGACTGAAAGGGAGAGTACTCGCGCTGTGCAGGAGGGGGAAATAGAGCAAAAAAATGTGACAAAAAGATAAGGTGAAAATCCGGTCGAGTTGGTACGAAAGTACGGGGAAGGGACATTGTCAAATTGAGGGGGAAACGTGGCTCATGCAGGTGCATGTAGTGGCGTGAGAGGCATGAGAGGCAGATTTCCCAACAACTAGCCAGACCAGTCTTTCGGTTCACGGAAGGGCCCCCAACCGTGGAAGCATCGTTTGAACTGATAAGGCTCAACATTTTTTGTGGTCAGTTTCAGTTTTCGAGGTCGATCTCGTTGGATATTGCTCATATGCTTCTGATAAAGCTTTGCGGCTTGCAAGGAAAGCTTTTGTTCCACATCGGATGTTTTCTTTCCCCACCAAATATATATCTGAAAGATAGAAACATGGAAGGGACTTAACCGAACAATCACCAGTGCTTCTTCAAATGGATGATAAATTTGGATAAAGACAGACTCAACATACAAACAATAAAAAACTGATTGGGATAGTCTCTCAGACCTCAAGATGCTTAGTTTGGAGTAAAATAATATGACAGTGAAAAATTCGTAGGAGACACCCATTCAATTTATAGCAACTGTCGAGACTTAATACGCTAAGCGGAAGATGGTTCTGAAACAGCTGTCTGACGTTTCTGGGACCTCATTCGTATTGCGCAGCTGATTAAGGGTGCGCACTGTACTTTCTTCAGTTCTTTTGGAAAAGGACGGATCTCTGCGCAAAACATGATAGAGTCGAAAGCGAATGTACCGCGCTCGGGTTACCTTCACAAATGATCGATCATCTATTTGACTAATGCAACAAACGCCCATCGAAGACCAAACGCTATGCATCAATACCTTGCCTTAGATGGTTATTCTCGATGTTTCACTGCAACGAAAAGGAACTTGGAGTTTGACGAAAACTGGGATGTACTTCCGAGGTGTTCAAACCTAAAATAACGGCCAGGTTCTAAAAAAGATTAGCTGAGAAGGTACAGGACGTGGTAGTGAGAGTGCGTTTTTTTTAAGGAACTAGCCACCACACACATTACGTCTAACCTGGACAGTCAGGAGAGTATTTCATTCGAAGCCCTGACTAATAAACAACCCGGTTTGTCAGACGGATCCTCCGTGGGGGTTATAACTGTATCAACATAAAGTGCCGTGTATTCATCCTAGAGTGCTTGTCCTAAGAATGGGCAAAATCTGAACGTGACGCTCTCAACTGATCGTCTCTGAGTGTTCAAGGATGGAAACTACTGCTCTCCGTGATAGTCCTGCGAAAAAGCGATAAAATCGTATTATAAATTCACAAAATCTCAGTGAAATGCACACGCTAATATAATGTCTGTAATGCGTGAAGTGCAGGCTAGCAGATATACCCGTGATAGTCCTGCGAAAAAGCGATAAAACTGTATTATAAATTCACGAAATCTCAGTGAAATCCACACGCTACTATAATGTCTGTAATGTGTGAAGTGCAGGCTAGCAGATATAGAGCTCAAAGAAAAGAAGATCGAAAGCGTTCAGTTGTAGCACCCTTTCGGTGCCTAACTACCATGCCAACCGAAGGTTGCACGAGGGCTGGGATACTGCCAGGTTGCGCAAGCCTAGACAGAGGAAGTCGAGAGGCGGAGGTCGGGTTCGAACTACGGACCTTGTGGTCAGTAAATTCGCGCTCTAACCACATGGGCCATCTCGCTCCCAAGGATATGGAGATGGAATCCTATAGACATGAATTCGAGTTCGGTGAAGGGGATGCATGACGGCAGTTACTGACAATAATGTTTATAAAGCTATACAGGGCTCAGCGACTGCCACAAACTGACTCCGCCGTGCACAATGAACTCCGTAATTAAAAGCTCAGAAGTTTGCTAACTACTTACAGACCGGAAGTAGCTTGTTAGGATAGAGAAACAAAGACACACTGTCCAGATATCACCATATAGGTCTGTCAGGATCCACAAGACACATTGAAATTCTGCAAAAAATGATTACGGAGTACCATGACTGCTAGCCTTCAAAATCCTTTCATGCATCGTAGATGTTGGGGAATTTTACCAGGAAACAAGGAGGCATCAACCTACCAAATCACCCGTGTCCAACATCATGGCGTCCTCATCGGCCAAATCATCCTGACAAAAGTCGGAGCATTTTTCCGAGGCACAAAAGTAGCCCTGATCGTTCGACAGACGGAAGAGCCGGGCATATTGCAAGAAATCTGCAGATCGATCGTATGGTTTCTGACCGCCGAGACATTTCCAGAAGTTCGCTGGTTCCGTGCCTGGATATAGATACTCAACTGTTGTTTCAGGCTGTATGGAGTGGGTTAAGGAGGCATCAACCTACCAAATCACCCGTGTCCAACATCATGGCGTCCTCATCGGCCAAATCATCCTGACAAAAGTCGGAGCATTTTTCCGAGGCACAAAAGTAGCCCTGATCGTTCGACAGACGGAAGAGCCGGGCATATTGCAAGAAATCTGCAGATCGATCGTATGGTTTCTGACCGCCGAGACATTTCCAGAAGTTCGCTGGTTCCGTGCCTGGATATAGATACTCAATTGTTGTTTCAGGCTGTATGTGAGTGGGTTAGAGAGGGAAAGGGTGAAATGTGCCATCAGACGATGAACATGAAATTTATCAAGCCAGGCAGCGGTGAAGAACGAAGGCCTAAGACTCACGCATGGAATGCAAGGGAACCAAGTCAAAGGATAAACAACCTACTAACTGGAAGATTACACAACTAAGAATTGCAATGTAGGATGATGAATTCGGGGATAATTTGCGCAACAACGTACCATAAAGTTTAATAATCCACAAGGCTGTTCTAAATGTCCATAAACGATTTGTAAATGTCCTTAAGGAAGACACCAGCAGGAGAGCAACTCTTAGAAACTCCGCGAAAGCTCTGTCACACCACATAATCACTTGTGGGAGAGGATAGATCAGATGGCATGAGACAAAGTCGACCAAGATAGACGTTCTTATGTAAAAAAACAGTCCTGAAACACCCATGGTATAATTAGGAGGACCATGTTGATCAACTGGGCCGTTCACACAATACCGGCGGACGCATCAGTTGGCTCACCGGTATAACCGTGCTCTGCAGAAACCACAGCCAACTAGCAAGGAGTAAGTGGAAATCACAAATTCCCAAATACGTTAACCAAACTTTCGTTAACCACTCACTTGTCATCAAGCAAACGTGATAAGTTAGACTGAGAAGTGCCACGCTACGAACAACTCGAGAAGTAATAGAAAGAAGAGTGAAGTATCACTACTCTGAAGAAATGCTTCACCGAAGGGAAACAAATGGTGAACGACTCATCCGGCTTCATCCCAGCTGAGAGCAGTCGTTTGGTCAACTTAGCTGATGCAAACCAACTGTACATATCATCTAGAGCAATTAACTGAACTATGTTATCCTCAGTAGTGGAAAAAATTTCAATACGTACAGATGTACTGTGTCTCCACGAACAAGTTATCTACCCCACAGTTGGTTGTACTCGGATGCATCAACGTAGAACCCTGCCTAACCCCATTAATTTAGAGTCGTCCATGGAAACCTGCATTCGTGGTACTTTCAACGAAATGGCAATTTCGGCAAATAATGACAAAGTGGATTCAAGGGTTTGGACAAATTGTGAATTTATTGCCGGGCAACAAAAAACCTTCCGCGAAACAAATGACTCGGGTACAAATGTGATCAATCCTTGAGGTAGATGGAAGATGAATCAGGAAGCCCTTTCTAGTACAGTAATCTTATCCTCAACACAATATCCTGGACATGGATGTACCTCTGTGGGAGGATGACCAGCAAAAACCGTACCGCACGCTTTATGCAGGATGAGGGTAAAATGTGTACAGTGGGATGGGACAGTCTTCGTGAACGTATGATAATTCCTGCCAGTTTAAGTCGACCAGATGCTCATTAACGTGTTCAAGCGCAACGCTGTAAATCTTCCAGAGGCTGTCAAGCCCAGACATCCAGATGATTACCAATAAGAATTACATCACAATGATGTTTTCCCCATAATACAAACAGATCAATGAAGACTTATTCAACATTCATTCAACAGATATGGAGTCGTTCACTCGTTCAGCTGTAACACCCTTTCGGTGCCTAGCTAAACAGTCCTCGATGGAAGAACGAGGGCTGACATATGCTCAAGTTCCCCAAGCCAGTCGTGTAAATGATAAGAACTGTTTAAAGTGATGTATTAGTTTGAATAAATGGTACAAGGGATTCCCTTTGCAAGGCTTCTTAAGGGACAGGACCACAAGGTGCTTACTGCTCGTTCTTTGAACTACCTTTCTCTTCGAGAGAAGATGGTAATGAAGAATACAGTGCAACAAGAATTCGTTACTACGAAACTTCTCCGAGAGGGAAATTATTGCGGCACGCTAAACCACTGCTGGAGGCTATCAAGATTAAACTGCATGTTTATGCGACAAGATTGAGGGACGATTAACGAGCCTGTCTTATCTCACTGAGTTCTCCACGTTCTTTCTGGAGAAATGGAATGGTAGGTGAGCATATGCAAAGAGTCAGCAACTCACTTGGAAGAAAATGCGCACTGCAATAGTCGTGGTGAGAGCTTTATCATCCGGATGTGCATCTGCACCAATCCAAGCCCACACATGAGCGTCCGTCGATGACTGATTGGAATCCAGCTGACATTTAGGCACTTTGACCAAATAGGTGAAATGCGTGTTTAATTGAGTTCCGCTAGGTTTTATCTGAGGAAATGACAAGGTAACCAAGATGACGGATGAGGTGAGAGGTTCCAACAAACGCAGACTGAAAGTGCTTATGACAGCCTAATAGAAGGTGCACCACCCAAATAATTAGGTAAACACACTCTCAGCGCGTCACTATACAAAGTGCAGATATTTTGCTTTAGCAAAATACTGTTCGTTCTCAAAAGACGATTCTCTTTAAAGAATATCAGGTCTTTCTAAAGCATAACAAGTGGGAAATGCGCCTTAAGGCGGACGTTTATTTGTATCAACAATCTAGAGTGAAAAAGTTACACTGAGATGGTATGGACGTGAAGCCCAAATCAGCCTATCTTTTACGATGTTGCCAGGTCGGATATGCTGCACCAAAACTGCCTGCGCACAAGGTGCCGATAATACTATCAGATAATACTATGAAAAAGATCGATGGGAATTCCTAGTTGCTTCCTCCATCCCACGCTCAATACTCAATTGTTTGGATTCCCTCAATATCTGGCATGATTTATTTGAAGAACTTGAGAGAGAAATTTCCATCTAACAAATGGTATCCGACTGCACCCAGAAGGCTGTATTCCTGGATGCTTTTTCTGACACAGTATGTATTTGGTGCTTCATAGATTTGGGAACGAGTACGAGTGCAATTTCACTGGGGTTCGAATCTAACGCTGGCATTCCCCCACACAAGACCTAGAACAAGAGGACATGAATAGCTTCACATCACTGCATCCATTCACAAAAGAATTCCTCCCCAGAGCACGAATGTGCACGTAAATTTTTCCTACAAAACAAACACTCGAAAAATAAAACCTCGGTTTCTTATTCCTTGAACTGATGAGGTGCCTCACCCCCAAGGCATGTTCAAGCCAATCACGCGAGATCCGCGCGGTTTTCGCTCTTGAGAAAAAAAACCTTGCAGAACTGACGCAAAGTAACCATGGGCCAGAGCAAAGCCTCTTACCTCAACTGTCCGGGTTGATATCGGATTTCCATTTGCGCGGATATAGTACACCTGGGTGCGTGCTAATCGGGCTTCCGATAGTCGGTCTTGATAACGACCATTGTGAATGACCATTTGGCGGTGGAAGTGTGAGAGAAATAGGAGGTCTTCCTGTTGCTGATGGATCCGTTTGAATTCTACCCGAAGGGGACCGCCACCTTCGACCGGATTTATGGACAGCCGAGTCTCCATGTCCTTTCGAACCGAGAAGTTGAACGTGAGCCACTGCACGTCGGACGTTTCGCGACCTTGCCAGAAATAAACCACTGTCTTCGTACGGTCTGAAGCAGCTTCGTCTGGTCCATCGGGTTCGCTGTCCTCCACTGGTTCTCCATCATCCTAGAAGCCAGTTGAAAAAATATGGATAGATAATAATATCAGAAGGTAACCAAACGGGAAATCAAAGCACGGAACACTCACCCAGTATCGTGCAATCACAATATACGAGTCTTGGTTGAAGAAGTGACCGAACCATTGAGGTTCAACCGGGACCCACTTCCCGTCAAGCATGATAAACTGCTGCAGAGCACTGACAGGAGTTAAGTCCGGTCCAATCTGCTCAACCAGCTCATTGTTCCAGTCAGCCATAAGCTGGAGTGATTCATTCCACTCGAGGGCGCGTTCTCGAGGGGCGAAAAGGGCACGGAGATCTGTGGCTGGTTTATCCTTTTCCAATATGGCATTCAAATCAGCGCCGCGTTTGGCAACTGATTCAGAAGTGCGGGTGAAGTCTACAGCCAACGCCTCCTCCCAATCGACAAATTGCGCACGAAATATCTGCGGGCGCATAGAAGTTGAATATGATGTAAGAAAAACAATGTGATTGTGTGCTCTCGGTTTATATCAATACAACTAATGCCATTCACGATTGAACATTCAATTTATACATTGAATTCGATGAATACACTGCTTCTATTAAACCATAGAAAGCACAAAGCTTGTCAGTTTGTTCAAAACTGGAGAGGACCAGTGAAGTCGGGGTTGAATTCCAAGCATTCCGAATAGGAGCTACCAAAAAACATCAACGACAGTTCAGGCTTTTACGGACGTGAGTGCTGCAGCCAGGACGATAAACGATCCTCACGTGGGTAAGAAGCTCTTACGAGCTGCGTGGCGTGTTAACATGAAATACATAGCTGAAGCTTAAATCAGACCAAGGCCGACAAAATATATCAGTCAAGGTCACTCGGAAGTACATCGATCAACTCCCTCAGGAGGTTATGGACTCTTCGATAGGTATAAAATGGGAAAAACAGTGTTTGTGACAGAGACCTAATACTGCAAGAGACAAGCCAAAACGGTTGGTTGGTATTGTTGTAAGTCACCGATGTAGAGATAAAATAAACGAGAAAGGTTCTTTTCGGGATATTGAAGGAGCAGACGCCGATAATGTGCCAAAAACAAAACAAGCGAGCCACAGCACTTGAAGCTTCACATCTGTGGCCTTCAGTACATTGTTGATAATAAACGGCTCCATGAACAAGAAATATGTGTATACAGATGCACACAGATATATTTGGGCCTTACGACGATACATGCACTGTTACGGCCAACACTTGGAAAACAACAACAATAGTAATGGTAATAAATAGTACAAAAGCTAGAGGACTATAAAAAACCTGAAAGGGAACAAACCTGTGGCTCCGCCCCTTGAGTACACACTTGCGGAGGAGGTCTGGAGAATGTAGACCACGCTTCGCGTAGTTCCTTAGCTGTTTTATCCTTCGATTTCGACGTCAGCTCGGCCTCCGCGCCACCGAAACAACCTCGAGGCATCAGCCCGGACAGTTCTTGTGCTAGTTTGTATCCGGCAGAGCGAATGAATCGGGCAGACTTCTCACCTACCCATACAAATAATTCCCCACCACTGTCCAACAAGTAGACGTGTTTGGGATCTAGCAGGGTTTTGGAGAGGTGTCCCAGTCTTAAGTCGACCTAAAAAGCAAGAAGGGATATTCACATAGAATAGGCGTGGGATACAGATAGTGGAAAGTTCACTGATCGTCCAAAATGACGTACCAGTGTAAACCCTTTATCACAACAAATGTATTGGTCGTAAGCTTTTACAAAAAAACGTAGCACAGCCTGATGATAAATTTCCAAAAAAATAACGAAGCATAGAGTTCACGTCACACACTAATCTAAACTATTATAAGCGTGCCATGATACGACTAGCGTACACTCTTGATCGAAGGCCCAACAGAATCAGCTGGATTTGCATTGAATGCAACCCGAAAATTTACAGACAAGAGACTACTTTCCCTTGACTGATTTCCAACACAGTCGACTGGCCCCCACAAATTCAGCAACGAATTGATGGAATGGTAAGACGCTTGGCGTTAACAAGATCTCCTTAAGGAGAAGAGGTTCTCGATAGAAGACATAACCGAGGGAAAAAATAAAGTTCACCGGAGAGCTGGAACTGCGCATACCTGATGAGCCTCAAGAAAGATAAAACCCGTTATGGCCTGTCAAACAGTTTCCAGTAAATTGGTTGTTGATCTGTTCGCCGAGTTTGGCAACTGACTTGCAAACGTTTCGTCACCAAAAGACAAGACATCATCAGTGCGCAGCTGGGTGGGCGAACAGATCAACAGCCACCTGATCAACAACCCATAAACTCACCCGAGCTACCAATATTTCAACACAGTTTCTAGTAAACTTATGAGTATTGTTCTGTGAAGATCTAACCTTGTTCCCAATTCACATTTATCAAAATCAGTAATAATGTAACTGAGCAAATGAGAGAGACTAACAGACTTGTGAATAATGGTCAGCATCTACGGTGTTTACCGATTGAGTCTTGGCAAATGGAACCGCGCTCTTGCCACACGGAGATGATCGGATAATTTAACCTTACAAAGACTAGTCTCTGTTGAAGGAACTGTCACCGGGTGTACACTTCTACTAGTCTGTGCAGTGCGTGAAACCAACTGGCGAGCTGAGGTAGATATATCGATGCACTGGTAGAAATTTCGTCAGTGCTATACAGCTTTGTCTGAGAGTTTCCACATAATTCTTCCAAGACGATCAGTTGCACAGATAGTGGAAACACTTGAACACAGCACAAGATACCGTGGTCCGGATATATTCTGCACTCTTTCACCAGGCATACAGTAGAGTAAAGCAGGCAAGAAAAAAAACCTAATTACAGCTGGGAATTTGGGCTTTCCACAATTGTCCTCAACATACTAGGAAGGGCTTTCCCCTGAAGATGGTCAAAGTTATTGGATATGCTGTTCACGGCCTCGAATGCTGATTGTGTGCTGATACAGGACCTGGTTACCAATGAGTGGCGGGTCATAGATGAAGTGGACAGCGGTAGTGAGAATAATCTTCGACCGATATCAGACGCACACACGCGTGTAGTCCAATTCACTTGCACAGGTCTGTGTGTAGACATCCTCAACCGAAATTGCATTTCCATTCTGCACAGATAACGCTCCGTTAACTGTGTTGTGAGTGATTTTCTAAGTGAAATGAACCATATAATTGTCGGAACAACGGTGACTAGTTTGACATAATTAAGCGTGGTGCATTCGCAAACCGTTAACCATGTTTATAACGCACTTCATCAACGCTGAATCCGACTGCCAACTGGCACCTTTATTTCGTTTTTCACCAAAGTTACCCTTCTAGTTTCTCTGCATAGACTTCAACAAAACTTTGCGCGTCGTTCAATCACTCCAATCACTCTAGTATAATTGTGTTTGGTCTAATGGCTCCAGCCTCCTGAGCGAAATTTTCTCGTAGGTCGGGATTCAGTGATTAGGTTCATCAGGGTTCAGAAAATGGCTTCATTTAATTGCCGTTTTTCCCTGTAAGTCGGCGTCGGTATCATCGCCATTGACAGAGCAATACACAAGTAATACATATCGATGCTTAACTGCCGTACAACAGTGACGAAATAAAGTCTTATTAAAGAGTGGAAAGAAAAAGGAAGGGTGAGGACCTAGTGCGAAGAAGCCAGGTGTGCTTAAAAAACGATCAAGGTGCCTTCACATTTGGACAGCATTATAGAAGGCATCTGAGCATCATGTCGAAACAAAGCACCATCAATGACATTAACCCAGTGTTCTTGCTAACTTCGCCCAACATAAGCCTAGCACGCAACGACGGATGAAATTCAGCTAGGCAGTCCGGCTAGGAAGCGACATCATACGCGCTATTAGGATCGGTGGTGCCCTGTTCTGCACTCACCTTTTCCTTCCATTGACCTCCAAGCAGAACCACGCGAGCCCCGTCCAGGAAAGCACGGAGATCCCATAGTACTCAGTACGGCAGTAGCTGCTTCCATTTTACATTATCATATCATGGACTGTCCTAAGAAAAAAACCTTACGCAAACAATTATTCAGAACACAAAAGAATGCTTTATTCGGTAAACGGCGGTTGGGCAGAGATGGCACACACGTAGTAGTTGTAATTTGCCGCTTTAACAGATCGGATTTTTTACCAAATACTAGCTTATGGATCATTCCGTTGCGAACTTGCTACAGCCAGCTTACTCTACGGATACATCAGTGATCAAACACTTGAAGACATGTAAGATCCTTGGAATAGATGAACTGTCTATCAAGCATGTTCAGCTGTAGCACCCTTCCGGTGCCTAACTGCCATGCTACCCGAAGGTTGCACGAGGGCTGGGATACTGCCAGGCTGCCCAAGCCTAGACAGGGGAAGTCAAGAGGCAGAGGGCGGACTCGAACCACGAACCTTCCGATCAGTAATTTCGCGCACTAACCACTTCGGCCGTCTCGCCCCCATATCAAGCATGTAGTAAGAACGCTCTTACAGTTGCGTTGTACACATGACCTCTTGGTTTCCGCGAAATCTACCTCTCGTGCGACAAACGACACAATATGAGGAAAAATCTTCGAGCGCAGTAAATTTACCTCTCGCAATACAATCACGGCGGATGCACCGGCCAAGATACGTGAACCGATCAACGAACTCAGCCTTCCCATTTTGAAGTTTCACACAGGCAAACGGAAATGGTAAGCCCTGAATTAAGACACTGCGCCCTGAAGTTGCAAAACGCATGCCATACATGGGGTCGACATACTATCAAAGACATGGGTTCATCTGCAATATCCCGGTTCAAGTACTTTATGCGGACAAATCATTGTCAAACAACGAAACTAAGTCATCTGTGCAATCCACATCCGTTATTCTCTAGTTCGATACCTAGATTCAGTCACCCAGAGTGTTCACTCAGTGGTGACAACGATGACAAAGATGAACAAAAAGGGGGGACGAGACAACCCAGACGAACTCCACTAATTTTGAAGACGTGTCTGGACAGCTGGTTGTATACCCCAACCCAACCGGAGGTATGGGAATAAAGGACAAGAAGAATGTCTACAAATCTCAAGGGTATCCACCTCTGGTCAGGAATATTTAGGAGAACTAATCAGAGTCGACGGATCTTTTGAAACCGAGGAAAACCGCAATTTTGGGTTGGCGGTGTATGTGAAAAATTAAAACGTCATGAGATTGTGTGGGTAAATAAACATATGCAGCCTCAGACAAGAGGCCGGAGTTGTCGAAGTAGGTGGTTGAGTGATGAAAATAGTAATAATAATAACAATATTAATAGTAATTATAATAGCTAGAATAAGTCCCATTGTCCGAACAGCTATCGTTCCAAGTGTATACTAAAAGAGTAACAGGAACGATACCGATAGTTGGTGAATGTTAAGCTATCTTCGGAGCCCTTCACATGATATCAGTTTCCCAAAACGTCCTTTACCTGCGGCAATTCTAGGTAACCTTTCCCCATCCGAACATCATAGAGGATAGGTTGCGGGAGTTTCCAATCTGCCGGTATAAAATCCCTCGGTACGTTTTTCGGTGGCTTGACGTTCGGTGGCGGGGGGTGGCCTGCGGAAAGTCCGTTTGCACGCTGTTTTTGTTGATGGTGTGAATCCTCATCTACCTTCATGACAGCTGTTGGAAGTGGTGCAGGTGTCCACTGATCGGTTATAATCGCCCAGAATGCATCCGACTCACGACCTTGTGCTTCTAAGTGAATTCCTGCTTCACCGCGCCTTTCACGTACGGATATCTTTTCGGCCAACAACCGGCCTTTGGTTCGTACCATGACACGAGAATCAGCACCCAGCCACAAGTACAGTTCGGACTGAGCGTCGACGAGATAACAAAATTTCGGGTCCAGACTTAATGGACTGAGTGGCATCGACACGATCTGCAGTCGTTTTTCTTGACCAAACAGACTGAAATACAAAGTGAACAGTTACACCACAGATTTCGGGGGAAGCTCAAAGAAATTATTCTCTGCAGAACGGATTAGCCAGGATTAGGCTGTGTGGGAGATTACACGAGAGTGAGACAAGGTAACACGCCTCAAGTCACAATCGTCTTAGGAGTGAGAAGCAGCCAACAATGAGAATTGTGCACGTTTACTCGGCAATCTGAACCAATGCCTGATCGGAAACTTTATTTGATCACTTTGTCAGGTTAAGACTGGTCTAAGCGAAGTCACCATCTACTTCAATCGACCGTCCCAACACACATTATTGTGCGTGTTCCCGTGGAATCGCCCGGTCTCGGTGTAGAGCAAAACGAAGATACCTTGATCATCGAACAAAATAACTATGTTTATTGTTTTTTCCGGAACAATAGTAGCAACCCAATCCAAATGAGTAGATATTCTGGTTGGCTCCGCTGACGAACACTGATCGTTCTAAAGAACCAACGCGACAAATTTGAGTCCTCGCCCATCCCATCCGAAATTTGGCTTCTACCATGGTCGGGCATCCGAAAAGCTGGAAGTATTAGTCTAATAGCGACGCTATTGAATGCTAAAAGTGCACTACACAACCTTCTCAGAGATTCGGAAGCGTTACCACGACGAGCTACCTCTCCTCACTGACTGAACAACCAAATGGTTTGAGCTTGAATTATACGATGATGATAATGAGACATTCAGAAAGACCAAAACAAACCCGGGTTGCGCTATCTTCCTGGGAACAACTGAAGATATGTAGCACCTTCGTCAACACTGACATGGGACGGGTGTAGCTCTTGCTGTCGACCACCCTCCCTGGCCAACATTCGTGCGAAACGCAGTTTAAGTCGACCTATTCTTTCTCACTGGATAGCAAATATATACATCGTCCATTGAACTGCCTTCAACTAAACAGGCTACAGCAACAGGCAAATTAAACATACCAGAAAATGTTGCACACATATTCCCCCAAACACGCAGATCAGCAGCGCCGTGCAAAAGCACAAACATTTCCAGTGGAGAGGAGCAGGTGACTAACCGAGGGAGGAATGCCGTCGAGATTGGTTTTGTTGACCAGAATACACATTTATGTGTGTGCCAGGTGAGAGAAGGCACAACAGCTTGCGAATGATTGCTACCTACATCGCACTGATCGATAATCGTATGATTCACGTTACGACCTATTGTCAGAAAGTCCTTGCCGCAAAACTGAAAGGTGGATGGTTCGGGAAGCTGGTCTAACAGATCCACATTTTTATAGAAAATGTTTTGATCGGTTGACCAAGCAAGTTCATTCGAATTTGCTTTGACGCGAACTGCACTGAATTAAATATCCCAAGAAGCCAGATTGGACCGGTTACACAAGGTTAATCAAATCCAACCTAGGTGTCAGCTGAAAAGAAAATTCCCTCATTTAGTAACCAGTCACACTCATTTAGGCCTCTAACCATGGAAGAACGCAGATACTGTCACAAACAGAAAAAAATTCTGTAATTGTCCCAGGGTTTTTTAGGAGTAGAACAACCAAAAGGCAACTTCAATAAAAGCCTTCTATTTACTCTTTTAACTGCTCAGCAACATGACAGGCTGTTTGCAGGTTGCAAAAGCGAATACGTGTAACGAGTCTACTTAAACAACATTGCTATCTGGGCAGATCAGTGAATTCCATAAATATGCGCATAAAAATCGATAGATGATTATCAACACCTAAAAGAACCGATGAGTCGTAAGCGGCTAGCTCGACTGTATGCAGTCATTACTCCAAAAAACACCTACCGATAAAGCTTTGGTATCACCGCTTGCGCTTCTACATGGAAGAAACCGGTCTCGCCGTGTGAACCCTCCAAAACCATTAATTTTCCGTCAAAAAGTGCCAGAAACTCATCACTCTCGTCATTCTGTTCCTCACGATGAGTTCGGCCTTCAGCGCCGAGGAAGTTGCGCAAATTCACCGCGTGAATGGCTGCACAAGTCTGTTTGTCCATGGTTGCTTGAGAACCGATCCAATAGTAGATAGTCCATTCCAGCGTTTGGTTCGCGCTCATTCTGGTATCCAGGACAACATAACAATCGCCATCAAACATGCGACCTTGAGCGCATTCTTCGTCGACACGTTTTGGATAGAATTCATCCACTTCCCAAACTTCAACGCCTGGGGCTATTCCTGTCTCCTGTGGAAGACAGACAACAAATGATCGGCGTCAGTAGGGACAACAAAGAGCGGTCTGATTAACTCCAGCAGAGTTAACAAAACCCATGAAAACCACGACAGTGAACATGGAGAGTGAATGCTGCATTCTTTGGATGCGTAGCAGCCGTGCAACTCAATGGAAGCATGAGGGCTGAGATACTGACGACTACCCCAGTCTACACAACAGCAAGGATCGGGTTCGAACCTTAAACTCCCAGATAACAGCTGCATCGAGCCGTCGTCAAACTGGGACGACGGAGAATACGGCAATGAAACAGCTTCAAGGAGATAATGGAGGCGAACAGTATCGACAAACGAGGAGAGTGTGAGCACCCGAACAGGCAAGTAAATCGATAGCCAGACACACAAATGGACAGGCTAGGAGATAGACAAGATGACAGAAACAGACAGAGATAGATACACATAGGGTGCAGATAGGTATGCGGGCGAAACAGCAGATTAGGCAACTTACTGCATCGAAAATATTCGAGTAGTCTAATTCTGGTCTGGAAAGCTGATCCTGCCATCGCTTCGCCGAAAGATGTTGGTATTCTTCTTCTTCCTGCTGCTCCCGCTGGCGCAATAGTGTTTCCTTATCCCTCGCAATGCGTTGCATTCCTTCTAGGACGCAGCTGCTATCGGTCTCAGCGACATCGTCACGACGACGACGAAGACGACGGAGTCTAGAAGCGGTATCCTGGGACAAGAGGTGAAAAACAAAATGTCACAAAATGGTCTCGATAGCAAGTTTTTTACCGCATAGCTTTTGATTGCAAAATTTTCATTAAGCGATGACGCCTCAATAAGTTTTGCTAGATGAGGGGCTATGATGCATCACTCGTTAGGTAAGAACAAATTCTAGTTTGAAAAACAGAGCTGGAACACGTGTTTGTGGACGACCAACAATTCCCTCTGTTACTATGACCATAGTAAGTCGGAGAAGTACCGCCGATAAGGAGCGCCAGTATTATTTTCATGAAGGAAACTAACCACAAGGTTGCTGAAAACTCTTCCACAGCTCACGACCGGTTTCGCCCTTCTTAAGGCTCATCAGGTAGGCGCAGAATACCATATCACCACTTGAGTCTCTCGTGAAAACCAAACTGATTTGGCATAATGACCAACCAGATTCGGGGAAGACCGCGACGCAACACAGATCAGAAGCTAACCGGTCAATACAGGAATAAGAGTTCTCTCTAAAAAAAACTACTCAACATTCCATCCGGATGCAAGGAAAACCGAAGGGAAAGCAGCGAAAATAGAAAAGAGATCAATAGATCAAAGCTATGCTTGTTGCGTTCGTTCCCACCAAACTAATAACCGAGGTCAAACTGTCCTCCCGAAACGAAACTTCTCAATATTAAAAAATAAACAGACTGGACTGATCTATAAAGTAGTTTCGTTCCCCCACTTCCGGCAGTTATTAGAATCTTACAGAAAACATCCGACCTACCTTCGCATGGTATCCTTTGTCCTGTGTTTCAGGGGGTTTCCCGCAAATTTGTCGTATTTGCGTCTCCAAAGAAAAATCGATATTATAATAAGCTCGTCCAGCACCTTTAACTAATTCCGGTGGCTTAGGCGGGAATTTCAAGAGGGGATTGCCATCCACTTCGAATACGTCAAGCGATTCACGTAGGTAGTGAATAGCATCGGGGAGGGTTAGAAGACGATTGCACGTGAGAATTAACCGCCTCAGACGACCACAGCGACACAGACCTGAAATTTCCACAAAAAGTGTGCTTCAGATAGATGGCTGATTTTTAATGGATGTGCCAAATTTTTTTTTGAAATCGTTAGATGAATGTAGGCTGCGACCAAAAAAGACTGTGGATGCAAACCCAACCCAACGATGCCTACTAGCTTGCGTCTTGCATTAGCCCGAGGTAAAGTATACAAATGGTTACATGAATACGTTCAGTCACCAGCGTACATAGGGCAAACTTCCGTGCACTGAATGGTATCATAGAACCAGGGTGTCCTGAGATGATACGGCATCCGGGTGATATCAATGACATCTGAGGATGTCCTTGCTTCTCTGTTCAAACATGGTAAGTCTAGTGTATCAAGCACCACGAAGAGACTCATCTGTCTCGAAGATGCTGAGCCTCACCGTGGTGTGACGGTTTATGCCCCTGTGTGACCCATTGAGCTAAACTTGGTGGTGTGACGAGATCCCGAAAACACTAATGTTCATCACGTGTTTTAATTCAGACAACGGGAACATCTAAGCAATTTGAAATTTCTCTGTAATTTCAATAAGTCTGACGGAAGTGTGGCTGATGAAGACAGTGCACGAATCCCCCATATCTAAACCACATGTGCCAATTTGCGTCACATGTGGCGTCAAAACGGTACATGGGTGCGTCTCAAGGATCCGTGTACAAGGCTAGAGTAAGGGCTGCATTGTTGTATGATTGCAAGACATAGTTCCTGTGGACAGATGGTGAGACGTCTGAGAAGGGTTGCTTGTATCAGATGGCATCAGTGAATTCCTGACGGGGTAATCAGAAGACTGGTACTTGGTTTCGCAGCAGGTACTTAAATTACAGAGAACTTCCAGCACTACCAACTGCGGTGGCTCGGCCATGTGGCACGAATGCCGAAGCGGAGTCTACGGATACTGGTGTTGCTTTCCGTCCCTCTCTCAGAACGGCTCCACCTGCACCGGGATAGAGACAATGCTAGAAACAACGGCTGATCGACATCAGTGAAGTTCGAGCTGTCAGTTTCTTTCGGGTCTGATAGAGTTTTCCCTAGTTTGACGGAACGTTTGGAGGTGTACACATCGCAGAATGCTTGTGACAGGTCGGCAGCGGGCCCCTTCTCTCATCAACTCGTTTCTCTTCTTTTCAACCTAAGCCTTCGAATATAATTAGGTGGGCTTTGTGATTGCCCAGCGGTGAAGCTTCAGTGTCAACACTGATTTTGGTATTTTTTTTGTTGATGATGATGTGGGGTAATGCCAGTGTCAACACTGATTTTGGTATCTCTGATGATGATGATGATGTTGGGGTAATGCACGAGTGGAGACCGAAATCCGACATGGCTTGAGGTCTAATGAAGGATATGCAATTGCAAGCAATGATGACATATAGTGCATAAAACCTGACCATTTATAGGTTGATTACAAAAACAGTTTATCTCGGACACGCCATTAGGCATTGGATCATACACGTGGTTTGACTAGTGTGTCATTGCTAAAGTGAACAATGTAATACAGAGCGGACAGTGATGAACCCTACAACTCTGGCAGCAGAACGGAACGGACGCAGTACGAAGACGCTGCAGACTACATCTGATTGAGATAGCGCAGGCTCAAACAAAACGCAAAGGGCCTCTGTAAGACTTTGCTGAAAAACCAAGTTAGAAAATTGTCTAACACGTGGCACAAAGCATTTGAGCTGGCGTGAAGCTCTAGATAATCGAACAGTAGTCTGTAGGCGGGGATCTACACAGAGATGCAAACACAAATCAGCATCTATTTTTCGCACACAAGCGATCGAATTTAAAAAGCGCCATGAAGTGAATTTTGCACAGAAAACCAAAGTTAAATTGCGAAATTTACGAAAAAACATAAGAAAACGTTGGATAGAGGATGGGAATCCCATGACTTCCGATTAGATGCGTACATGGGACAGGTCATGAAAATATAGCTCATCCATTGATTCCACTGTGTGGAATTTTCAATTAATAAACTAGCGGGTTCAACTGTGCGCATTGAGACAAGTGGTCTTCGAAACAAAACAATCGGCCTGCGGGATTTTGAACTGGATTATTATTTCTGAAGGAAATTTTCTGAAGAATAGGTGGCCAATCAGTGGATATATGTGGATTCGTAAACGTGTAACTGAGTGCTTGTCCAGAATGGAGTAAAAAATATGGACAGTAGGGGACAAGACGTTGGATTTGTGGATATAAGTGGGCGTTCAATCCCGAAAAGCCCCAGACAAATACTGATTCAGACGCGTGTGGACGTGCATAACACACTACCTATCGACTTGAGCATTCCATACATTACGTATGTGGTCACCGACACCCGTTGGTGGTCACACAAGCGAGAAGAATCAACCAGGGAATGCTTCGCTATTGTTCAGGTTCAACATGAGCAGGATGCCAAGTGTCTACATCCCTCTTGAGGAGAAAGAGACCGGTTATGATGTTGAAAACCCCAACTCCCTGATCCAGGTAGCGCATCGCAAATATAAGATGGACGCAGAGTTCCAGTGTCCTCAGAGAATCTGATATACAAGAAATGCGTATGAGAACTACTGAGTTACAATGCACTGTAGCAAACACTTGTTGATAGTTCACGATGACCATCAACCGAGCTAAGAACAGTGCACTGCCGCGCAGGTAATACACCACGGAAGTAGGGAACATTGCGTTCTTTTCAGAAGGGCTTGATAAACAATTGGTAGTTTTTACTTGGACATCGTTTCGCTTTTGACACAAAGGCTTCATTAGGCCAACTGAACAGGTCAGCAAGTTAGCGAAGTTTTAAGGCAGGAGGTGGACCAATCAGTAAGACTTCTTCATATTAGCGCACTAGATCAGTGTTCAGTATCAGTCAAAATCTTGCGCTGGTGAATTAGGGGGGAGTTTCAGTGTAATTCTGGTCGGATTTGGTTCCTTAATCTTCCACTTCAGGTTGCTTCCATTGATGATTCGCCGTGGTTGCCACTGATAGATTTCATTGGTCTTTGTGGGGTTGAGTGCTGTGACAATAGGGTTAGAGGGGGGGTAAGGTCAAGTGGAATTTAGATGACTAGGATGGCGAGGTCATAAGGTAGACAGAAAAGCACTCAGTAAGACGTCTTCAGGTTAGCGTACTAGATCAGTGATGAGTGTCACTTAACGACTGTTGTCAGTTAGTGTGGTCGCCTAGATCTTGCGTTGATGCGTTGGAGGAGTTTCAACTTAGCGAAATGCACTCATTTGCAAACTAATTTGGTTTTCCGAGAGACTCACCTGAAACCCAGCTGAATATCTCGTTTGTGATGTTTCCAGGCAACTGAATGTGCTGCACCAGGCCGTCTCAGGTTCCAGTCGCTGCGATATTGAAGAAACACGATACATGTACAGACGTAATGCACTACTCATTAGGTATCAGCTCGACCGATCCGAAACCGTTCTCCACACACCAACCAGTTCTACACCTTCTATTCTATGAGCACTGGGATGCTTGGCAATTTCCACCGCATCGGCTATCAGTCTCTGTGGTGTGGACCGTATTCCTCGCCTCAAAACCTCAACATTTTCTAAATATATTTTGTCCCGTGAGGTTCCTATGAAGTTCATATCCGGATTAATTGCTGCTTGATCCGAAAACCAACATCTCAATGCAGGGGCTGTATCTGGTATAATAAAATTCGTGAGTGAATGTATATGGCTGCTAGGATATGTCTCAGTGAGTTCGCAGCAAAATGGCAGGACATGATAGAAAATTGCAGCAACCAAGTGAACTGGACTACTGACGCACCAATCCTAACAACACACAGAAGAACGATAGGTCAAAAACGGCTAGGGTACCTGATCAATGGCGCATCTTAAAACTAAACCCAACAACTACCCTAAGAATCAAACACTGATCACAATGTCAACAAAACTGTACTGGTCAGATACGAATAAAGGGGTTCATAAAATATACCATCTGCTCTGAGGTGAAAGCATGCATGCTTCAGGACAAAACAAGACGACTCACTTTCTGGGATATTTTCCAACTCATTGTAGGAAGCATCAAATATTTCCAAGTCGCTTAGCTTTCCTATCCCTGACGGAATACCAGTGAAGGTGAGTTGATTGTTGTTGATGTACAATCGCCGCAGGCTGGTTAGCCGCGTCAGACCGGCAGGTAATTGGGCCAGTTGGTTGTAACCCAGGTTGAGGTACTCTAGCTTGGGCCAGTTGTCCGTCACTTGAGACAAATCAGTGATCTCATTTTTCTCCAGGTTGAGTTTTCGCAGTGTCCGTAACTGAATGTGTATGTTCATAAGCGAATGACGCACAAGGAGAATTAAACGAATAAGTAAGAAGTTGGATCGGAGGAGGAACCTCCGTCCCCAATGGGAGAATTTAAGTGATTCAGGGTTGAAGTAAGCCTCAGATATGAAGACATCGATCACTGGGGAAATAAATCTTGGTCCAGTCTATCTGATGTTCGAATCACTTAAAAACCTCAGCCTCAGTAACTGGCTAATCGTGCTCATTTAAAAATTACGGTGGCGTTAACAAGAGACTAAATATAAGTCAGGCAGGAATCCGGAGACTTTGCCTAAACGCATGAGCCAAAAAGAGACCAAGACCCGCAGCATGCTTTCGACGAGTTTTCAGTGACATTATGAGTAGTGAGTCGTGCCAAGAAAGGGTCCCTTGTAATTGTACTACTTTTATTGATCAGAAGCCCGTGTTGAGATGGTACTGCAACACACTACTACACTGGGTGGGTCTTATCCATGTTCCTGTTGTATTATTACAAGGTCGCACAAGTTGAAAATGTGTGAGAAACAAACTCTCTCCGAGCTAAACACATATAAAGGCCCAAGACATCGACACGTCGAGATATCTAAAATAACGGCAACAACCCGTTCGTTCACAACTATCCACGACAGATCCGTCGATACTATAATGAATAGCCAAATTAAAAGTTATGAAGAGCTGACAAAGTAAAAAACCTTCATAGCGACACCCGTAAAATTTCACGTACTCGGGTCATGCCGGCGAAAGTGTGCCTCCCTACATGCGATGCGGCGTGGACTGACCTCGCCACATACGACGTCACTTTGTTCACTTGACCTATGGACTCCACATCAGGCCACGAACACATACTACTCGCGTGCCTTCTCATCAGTAGTATCACCGTTACACTAGTAAGCCCACTCTGTTTGTTCCATCGACGTTTCATCCTGTCTTAAATTTTTTACGCGATCACCATGAAAAAACACAGTTGAACTAGATCAACCCTGTGCACATGTTGAAAAAACAGTGCTAGCAGACGAGAACCGATAGAGATGATTCTGCACTAACTCTTTTATCTCCCTCGAGTACACGTCTGCGGCCAACGCAACCATCACGGAACTGAACATAATCATCGTCATGACCGAATAAACAGGGTTGTGTCGGCAGTCGTGAAGCATTCAATACAAAAAATCTTCAAGAACACGCGATGAAATGCGATCCTTTGCGCTTCGCAACATCTTCAAACTGGCAACTTCTGTGTGATACCTCTCTAGTCCGAGGAAAGTAAAACTGAATTTTGTTATTCTCTAACCACTATTCACAAGTAGAGCACCCAAGTGGCGAAGAAACACTAAATTGACCAGTGTGACAAAACGAAATGGACATATTCTAGGCGGTTCTATCAAGATCCTTTTGTGATTCTTACCAACGCTGACTGCCATCTACATGTGACTTTATTATGACATTTACTTTACCCCAACCATTTACACTTTACTTTCAATGGCAAGTACAAAAATGATATTGAGATACGTACTTAGCTAAGAGATAGCCAACATCCGGTCAGAAATATTCACAATTTACAGTCCATGTATTTTTTGAGAGACCATGTTCAAACGCTTGCGGAGAGGTAAAAAGTTTCAGGCAGTGGCTCGAATGAGGCAAGCAAATGTAACGCAAAGCACTATACTCAATATGCACGAAACTAGAGAACTTCAAAGCCCCCACTGATGACATTCTCGACGATTAGGTGTGCGAACAGTGCATGTAAGACAAACAAAGAGATATCGATGATAGGAAAGGAATCCGCAAGACATCATCAGCCGAATGAGTGCTCTAGCAGTGAAGGTGCCGTAGACGGCGACCATCCTTTGTGTGAAGGACATTGATATTGATATTTCTGTGTTATGTGTATATGTAATAGTGTATAGTAATGCGTACGGGGCTGAGATACTGGATGTATGCGCTTTGATCTTCACCTTACTTACAATCTCACCGCCGTGACAAGATCAAGACGGGCTTTTATCACCGAACGCAGACGCAGATGAACTTACGGATAAAACTGGTTCCGGGATTCTGGTTAACATATTGTTGGACAGGTTCAATTCTTTCAGTTTTTCTACCTTGTCCAGTTCCCCGGGAATATTGTCCAGGCGTCTCTCGGTCCCAGCCAAGTGCAGTACCTGTTGCACAGAAACAAAATATGGTGATGGGAGATAACCGTCCATTGGTGCTGGGGGCTTTCTAGACTGTTATTCTAACTCCATGAAACATGAACGGAAAATGATTGAATGAAGGGGGCACATCATCATTGTTAGCAGCTTCAAACTGCATACCGATTAGAATAACACGGGTATATACACCGACTGTTTTGAGAATATGGATGGAATCAGGCATTGGGGGTGACTGCTAGCATCATTGGGTTGTGAAATGAGCCTTGCTACGGAAGATTTTTAATATGTGCATGGGAACGCGGAGCACAAAACTGTGTATTGAGCGAAATAGCTTGAGTACGCGAACAACTTTGGATACGTGACTGTACTGCCATGTCAATCATTGATGTCTGGTCTGCGAGATGTCAGTTTGCAACGCGAGTGAGTTTGCTGGTTACGGAGTTTACGCATATTCAGGAAGTTGTTACCTGGCTTCTCATGGCACGCCCTGCCGGTAACTAATGGTCCAGTGGTCCAATGGGCTCACAGCGAACTCGTCTTCGGTTGGCGCCAATTTATATGATGTAAGTGTTTAACCTGGAAATTCGCAGTGGCTCGTGTTAGAAAGTGACACTAGCTGAATATCTAAAAAAATGTCCAATCCAGCAAAACTGGACTGCGGATTGGTAAAGCGCTTGTTGAACGTCTTGAATAAGCAGAGCGCAGTGGAGATACATGTGGAGGAGACGAGTTGATTTGAGGGTTCCACTCAGAAGTATGACCAAGAAGGAAGAGATATGTGATCGTGTTGGAGAAGGGCCTTCTTCTGATATCAGTCATAGGGTATAAAGTACCACGATGCGGTGTTTGTGATTACTTTGGGGAGGGGTTCTGAAGGCAGCAGGTAATTCAATCATCTAATCTATTTGACTACGATAAGCCGACCCGATCCGAGGATACCTAACCGTCGGGCTCCTCATGCTGCCGCGCACAACAGGTTATTTTAACAGCACTAGAACGAAGTATTTAAACCACACTGAATAAGGCTCCGGAGAACAAGACCGTTGGCCGAATAAAGTGAGCCAAGTTTAGGGCCCGCCTTTGCCAACCCGTCCCTCCCTCAAGAGAAGGTGGCAATGTGGCTTCCATAAATACGGGAAACCCAAGTACCTGAAGGGAATACCTGACTGATTTCGCCTCCACATGCTTTCGTGATACCACCACTCATCGTACGAAGGTTCTCTGTTTCGTTTTAGCGCTACAGGCATGGTTGTATCCGCCAGTACAACCCACAGGATCTCCGCAACACTAAAGCTTAAATTCCGCATCAAAGTGACAGCTCTTGGTCGGGTGACCACAAGGTTGCATTGTTTTGCATAATTAACAATTCAGCTCTGGGGCTGACCAGGGGTTAACAGCCCTGATTAACAACGTCGAACCATTAATGATATCGGCTAAACAACTATTAGGCAAGATGGATGCAGACAATACACAAGTCAGAATATTAGCCATTTGAAAGCAAACTAGTTTAGACAGGCGAGGTTCATCTCGTCAGGATGGCTCCAACATGCACTGGAAAAGAATCTGCTGTCTAAATATTGTTGCAGCTGCCCATTTTCTCCAATAAAGTTCAGAATGGGGTTTAAAATATGCCAGTAGGTAACACGAGAGGTCAAGGACGATTTCACATGTTGCATACCCACAGGTGGCAACAAAAGAGTCGTTAGAATTTCCAGCTGAATACAGGAGGCCACGGTTTATTCAACAGAGGGAGGGACATTTATACCAGAGACGTTTTCAGAAACTTACCTCCAACTGTTTCAGCGCAGCTAAGGATCGGAGCTGTGCGTGACGTAGCGGATTATCGCTGAGAATCAATTGCTGTAGCGCATTGCATCTACGTAATTGAGCCGGAAGACTTTCCAACCGATTATCTGACAGATCAAGCAGCATCAGATCGGTACACTGGACAAACACGTCGGAGGAGATGGACGTGATTCTGTTAGAGCTCAGGTTAAGGACCAAGAGGCCTTTGGCTTTCTCAATACCCTTCGGGACATTGGTTAGGTTGTTTCGACTAAAATCAACAACCTAAAACAGAAATGAAAGTACGATCGTCTAGCGATTGTCAAAATAGTGGAAGATGAGAAGGGCTAAGGAAGCAGAGGCACTGATAATTGACTTGACAAACGAGCAACCGAATTAGTTGGATGACAAACAGGCAAGTATGGTTCGAAAATCAGCTTGTTCACTCCACATCAATTGGGATGCCAACTGGTTATAGAACAGACGTAACCCAAGGAAAAACGAAACTACATCAGGATAAAATCCATGAGGGAAATATCTGAATCTTCCCAATGTCTACCAAGTTCAAGTGAAACATCAGCAATCATCATCTGAACAGCAAGTGAGTACCAAACCACGTGACGCTAAAGAAGTTTGGTTCACTTTCGGTTCCAGCCCATAAAAAGTACCGTCCAAACTACCACGCTGATGTAGTAACAGGAACTTATATCAGTGGAACGGTTCCGCCTATCAGATAACCATCAAACCGGGAGAAACTAACAGCACCAGAATAAGTCGTACTGGGAACGTTGGAAGGTGACTGTGGGAGCAAATGTAGGAGAAAAACCTAGTACAACGTTTGCAATGCACTACTCATAAGGTTGCTGAAAATTCGTCGACGTTGCTGCCGTAAAATCCCTCTGCAGCGACCTCCAACAAATTGCGACGTTTTTTTGGATCTGGTGGAATTTCCGGAATAGGTCGCCAAATTTCTGATACCGAGAGCAACCTTGTCCTACTTCTCCCTCAAAACTACCAGCTACATGGTTTCTCGGATATAATCAATTGCGGAGGAGTTCCAGCTCACATCTCCCCGGTACGACCGGTCCCATCGGAAAACGCCTTTACCGTAGGTTTAATAGAAGCAAACCAGATTATGCAAATACGCACACGAAAAATGACTGCGTCTTGCTATGGAGGTTTCTCGCACCGAACGAGGCAGTCAAACCAGTACTCGGAGGGAAAGTCGAGTAAGGGGATCAGAGAATAGCTACGTGATTTCATGATTGAGTAATTACCTTTGAAACACACAGACACAATAATCCACCTTTACAAAAGAACACAAGCCGATGAGAAACAATCGCTATTTTCCGCTCGGTTGTGGGAAGGGATATCACTGAGTACTTCACTTTCAACAGCGTCAAAGAAAACACGCCGCACCCCTCACCATCAGTCCTCTTAGAGTGATTGAAATACAGCGCGACCATAGTTGCTAGGTGGTCATAAGGGTGCATACAGACTTTGATCAGGAGAAAAAATGTCTGTTAAACTAATTCGTTGTCAAACTTGTCGTTCCAAAGGCATCAAATACAAAGCGATGCGGAAGCGGAAAGGTAGAGTCAACGAACGAGTGGCGCATGAAAACAAGAGAAGTTGACATAAACACCTCCTAAAGTAGTGCCAAGTGCAAGCGGAAGGTAGAGCATGTAAGGAACCACACAAAGTACCAACCTGCAAATGTGGACATTCGAATATTTCTGAAGGGATTGCATCCCCGTCAGTTAGCTCGTTATTTCGGCAGACTAAGGACCTTAGGGCAGGGAGTGTCGTGGGCCAACCTTTGAGGGAGGATAATCGAGTCAGAGAGTTCCGAGCCAGTGAAAGATTTTCCAGCTTTGTTAACCTGGACAGTTCCGGGGGAAGACGACCATCACGAAGACCGACATCCCGAAGCTTCAACCATTGCAGACGACACATGCTAGCTAACACATCGGTTGACGGTCGAAATGGTTGCACATCATGATCATCAACGGAGGCATCATCCGCAACACGATCTTTGCGTGGCCGACGACCATCGGTACGGCTTGGTTCGCCGTAGCCAAACGATACACCAGAAACATCCAGACCTCTAAGATATTCAACAACAGCCTTGGTCATTTCTTCGGGGGAAATTCTAGGAAGGAATTACTTTGGCAAACGTCTGCTTCAGAGAATTAACACGGTCCTGTTGGGTTGAACATGAAGGCTACAATCAGTCATCAGGCGTACATATCATGAAATGGTAAAACGCAAGCGATAGTAATGAAAATAATGAATGATATCACAGAGAACAGAAACATTCAACCGAGAGTTGTAATGCATGAGCATTCTCACAGAAATCAGGTACATCTAAGATAAATCATTCAGCCCGGAAGAAAAGCAGAGCTGACACAGATGAGTTGCATTGCAAACAGGACCGCGACAGCTCTCCTTATTACACTCTAGTGAAGTTTGGATAATTACCGTACAGACAAATCAGCCAAACCATTGTTGGGAAGTGTCAAAATGAAGAGCGTCTTTAGGGGAACTGCCCTGATATTATTGTCAAAAGGGAACCTAGGTGATCATAATAACCGACGGCGAGGAATGAAAACAGTGAGCGACTGTTGAATCAGTGCGCCAACCACCAAGCGTTCTTGGCTAACTTGAACTTCCGACATCACCATAGACACCTAGTAACATGGCACTCAACATTTTATGGTTCCAGGGTGGACTCAGGTTGATCCCATCGCCTTCTGTAAACTGAAAGGTGTCTATATTGCGAGCCAAGACCATAGGCCTAAATTGTCGATCCCCACCGACTCTCTTCCGTCAAACCATTTTGGCAGGTACTACCAGTCACGGGTAAAACTTGGGCATAACCTCAAGTACTTTAAGATGGGTGAAGAATCCAAGGTGGAGAGATGACCAGATACAGGTAAAAGGCGTCGACTACTTTGCCTATTTGCTCAACTAGGCCCCGGTGTATGCAGGTTGGCAAAACCACTCATGATTTTGTTGCAGCCGTTATCACCAACATTCAATGACTGAATCCGGTGAAACAAATATTTTGAGCCTAAGTTTAGCTTTCGATCTCCTCATTCCCCAGAGAAAGCATCCAGCTTACCCTAATTCCTGGGCTCCTGGTTAGTGAGGGCACTAAAATGCAAGACCTTCGGGGAGGAAGATGAACCACTCAAACTATTCAAAACAGAGGGTGATGCAGTTGGTGGAGATTTAACCAGAAGGATGTGTAGTCGAGTATTGCCCGAGGCCCTTTATAACTCGTTCACAAGAAAGATCAGCGCTCGGGTTGATCCGGCCATTGTGAGAGCAGTCTGTGTCGATCATACGAAAATTCTAGCGAAGGTCACAATTCGCAGGCTACCTTCAGAAGGTGAATTGTTAACGCGGGAAGAACAAGCTGGTTTTCACAATGATCACGTTCATAACATCTTCACGACTGAACAAAATATTATGCCTCGTGGCACGCACCAACAGAGGACCATTCGCCTGACCGTCGAGTTGATGAATCCGACTGACTCTTTTGGAGTGCATTTCGATGAACGGCGCTCATCCCAAATTCTTAAACATCCTCAAAGTGACATATGGTGCGAGTTTTGGCTATAGTTGCCGATACAATCAAACAAGACCTAAATAATATCCAGTGGAGTATCCCAGGGATGTCCAGAAACGCCGTCAGTTTCAACGTTGTAATCGACGATCTCTTCAAAGCAGCTCTCAATGGAAGCATTGTCGACGAAACGCCCCCAAGGGTCTGAGCCCATGAACAAACCAATGTCACCTTGTTTGGAATTGAAACACGCTCAATGCATCTTATCTCTGAAAAGCTAAAAATAGGAGGGGGTGGTTGTTATTGACTATTGATGTTAACAAGAGATTGCCGAATTCTGTTACACAATTAACTGACTACACTCTGTGCTTTGGTTTTCGCAAACGAGCCGCCGTAGTTAGTCTCATTCGATTCCCGATAGAGTTATGAGACACCGATGGTAAAAGACCTAAAGATAACTCAGATCGTTCGGCAGAAGCAACCAAGCTTCACAGCCATAAAGCAAAGCAGCAAGCGCTGTAGTCTGATAACTATAAAGCTTAGGACAAAATAATGTGCTCTTTTCAAGTCACCGGGGACACAGACAGGTTAATCTAATTCTGGGCTTTGAATAGGCACTGACTTCATCAGTAAGATTACCATCCGAGTTAATGCAGTTTGGGAGATACGTAATGCTTTCCACAATCGCGCCTCTCCCAGAAATCTTAGGGGCATTCTCTAAGACTATGAATCCCTCAGCATTCCATCCGTGCGGCGCATGCCACGCATACGCTCACCTGTGGGTTACCCACGCACTGTCTATTCGTGATGAAATCATGAGAACTGCCTACAATTTCATGTTTGCTCACTAAGTCCGGTGCCGATTTTCTCATACTGGGATTCAGATGATCTGATGTGAAACAAGCATATCCTGGAGAATATTTGCACACCACTCAGGATATTGTCACTTAACATCGATCAACCTTGAGGAGTTTTTGTCGAGACTTCTCATGAATCCTGTTGAGTCATCTAGAGAGGATGATAGCGGTCTTTTCAAAATAACGGCACGCTTCGACAGACAGAAGACTATGTGCTCACTAGGAAGAACTAAACTAGGTGTTTGAAAACCCGAGTGGAGATCATAACCTTTACTGGGTTATGTTATGACGAAAAGTGAGTGGCATTCGAGAAAGCCAATATGTCCGACCCACTACCTGCTACACAGCTCACTAGTTGACTTGTCGTAACTTTGCTAGTAATCAACCAGTTAAACAAAATGGGAGACAATTAAGTTCTACGAGGTTCTTATCCCACGTGGCACTACCAAAGTTACCGAAAATGTCTCTGGCGAAACTCAGCGCATCAGTCATAATTTGAAGCAACAAAATTTGTAGGAGAGCCGAAGGAGCCCCACTCTTAGCACCCAGAAAACGCAACGTCTAGAAATATGGCCTCAGTGCTGCTAAGACTCTTTGATGAGCTCTAACCACAAAAGAGCAATTACGCCGAGGAATACCATCACCTGCTAAATTACCGAATTTTGGAAGCCTTCAAAAGGTTTGAAGATGGTTAAAAGCGATTACCTGTGAGTGGCGAAGTGATGAATGCACCTTGTAAATGCGTTGTTTGTACGCGTTCAGACTGTGAACATACGGTTCTAAGTCGATGGGAGAATGCTGAAGCTCTGCGATTCGCTGGAGAGCTGAAAGATAGGAGAACGAACGAAAAATGTGCCACAACTTTATGAAGTAGTCAAAGAGAATATGGATAGTGAGAAGCAAATGACAGAAAAATGAACATTAGGTTGACGAAAAAGGGCAAACAGTTCTCAAGAATGACATTCGCATATCTTGGTACGATCACCCTGTTCGCTTATGTATGTTCCGGAATTCCCCAGATTTGCAGGTTAGTGAACGAATCAAAGTGGCGCTTTTGTTCAAGGTTATGGGGGAACTGGGTTGTGCTACCGCATTAGGGCGAGCAAACGCCTTATTGGTCGACCACAATACAGCATTCGACTTGGGCATATAAATGACAACAGGTAGAAGCTCGTGTGCCATTCTACAGTTTGCAATTCACAGGAAACTATGGTGGCAGTGACGGAGCTATGATCCGAAACACAGATAACCCGCGTTACCTATGATACCAACAGAATTAATTTGTACTGTACTAGACGGCTTCACTAAATCTTCTTTCGACGGAACACCGAGACGGTCGCGTTACTTCTTACCAATGGATAATTTTGGTCTCCGTCTCACAGACTGCATGTTCTGGAATGGGAAACGTTGTGAAAGTTGCAAACATGATTCACGGCCTCTCTATGATTAACCTTTGATGGGACAAAAATATCGAAATAAATGTGATGTGTTGGTCAGGTCTACTTTCTGTATGATTTGCGCTGAATGTTAGTAGTCTTTGTTGTCAAAGCTAAAAGTATAAGGCAGTCTGAGGCAGAGATACTGGCAAGCCTACCAGTGGAAACAACTAAGCCACAAACTAGGGCGGTGCTGGTCATAACTCAGTTACTATATATATATNTCTATCGACGTGTGCGGTCGGGCTCACACATATTTCATAGGGGTTTCGCGACAGCTGGAGGTGACTTGAAACTACTGTTAGAACAAATGTTAAGACGCAAGGAAAGTGATAAACAAGGAATTTTCGCCTCTGCATAAATAAACTATTAGCCTAAACAAAATCAGAACCGGATAAAAGGATTGTGCACCCACCACATTTGATGACACAGTTCCGACTCCAGGGGAATTCCGAAAATAGATAACTAATAGCGGTTACCACCAGTTCCAGCCAAAATAAGAGCGTTTCTAGGCTATATCTCCACCAGAAATGCAGAAAGCTAACTCACATAAGTATAACGTATAACTAATAAGTATAACGTAGTGAAAAACTGTTTCCCGAACTAGACACTTGATTTGATTTAAAACATCACAGTCGTTCAAGCTTCTATGTGAGCACCGAAGCCTAGAAGGAACGAAGGTGAGAGCCTTTAACCGACGAAAAGTCTGACTGCATGGTTGCAGTTTTTGACGTAAAAACCACGGACAACAGACAGAGTGGTCCAACTTGCAGGGAATTCATCGCACATCCAAACACCTAACCTGGGGGTCACTGGGTAAAAACCACGGACAACAGACAGAGTGATCCAACTTGCAGGGAATTCATCGCACGTCCAAACACCTAACCTGGAGGGTCACGGGACTGTGTTAGTCTGACCTCCAATCGTCAACCGACCAGCTACGACAGAATGCGAGTATCAGAGACAACCTCTAACATGGCTCATTTGGATAACGGAGGTATAAAGGTTGCCACACCATGGTAAGGCGTGGCCTTTTCTTGAAGGCCAAATACAATACTATTTGTCTGACACCATTTCATAAGTTCAAAGTAGCCTGGATGCGCCGTATTACTTGTCGCCTCAGGCAATCCACATGAAACACAAGAAACAAGCTATAATCAAAGCGTTCTAATCCAGAGAGCATACCAAGACAAAGTAGTATATGACATATATTCCCATAGACATTCTTTCCTTCCCAACTCCTCGAAAAATTGGAGGATGTGACGTCTATACACAAAATACCATTGTTCGGTGGAATAACGACTAATTAAAGTTGTAAAAAGTTAAACGTGATGCTATAAGTTTTTCGCGACCATTTTTCGGATTTGTGTGTGGTGCACACCTTGGGAACCGGTTACATCGAAACCTTGGCAACTGGATATATTGGATGCGCCACTATGGGAATCATGTATGTCGAACATGCAGAATAGAATAGTCATTTTAAATTCGTTTCCAATCTGTACAATGTAATCAATGCATTACCTAGAATTGTTTGAAATGTACAAAAAGGAAACCGCGCCATCCTCAACAAAATTTCAACAAGTCCTATATTTGCTGCTGCGTTAACACAGCCGGAATAACTGACTGAAACTATCTCGACTATTCACGGAGGCAGTAGAGGGAAGCGCTGATCACGTGGAAGCACGTGACTGATCGAAGAATGTGCACCCACTAACACTTTGTTGGATGTCGGTGAAGATGAAACGCGGTGAACAGATTCAGTCTTTTGGTGAATAAAAGGATCCACATGCCGATGCGTACGTGGTTTTGAGGAGGAAAAATTTGTTTACTGAGAAAATTCGAATCGCACACATACTGCTGGAAGCAGTGAGTGAGTGAGCAATAACCGACTACTGGAATCACGGACCATTCCAACCAAAAAGTAAGCCAGGAAGAAAGCACCTTAGTTTTTAAATTATCCTAATGTGGTTGTAATATGAACCGATTTGTGTGCACAGTTCCACGTTGCAAGACGAGAGTTGCAAAGCGTCGCTTGTTGGAACGAACGGATCTCCAGAAGAAAAGCATCAATCTCTCACGCATTATCAATACCCAATAATAACCTTTTTTCGGTACGACAAAGGACGATACACTCTTTGATTTTCTTTGAATCTTCCACAGCCCAGAAATACCAAGGAAAAGTTAACCTAGGTGAACTATTAGCCCAGGAGTGGTTTAAAAACCATGGCCCAGTTCTACCTGCAGATCCATAAGGAACGGCCCAAGTTAACTTTGTTTGGAAGAGGTCATAGAGCCGGAAAGATATGCACAGTAACTCTTCAGTCGAGAAGGGTCTCACCGAATACAGAGCCACTACCCCACATTCCTTGGTAGCGCCCTACGATTCCGAAAGATAAGAGACCACCGGTGAAAAAACACATGACCTTTCCTCCCACTATTGCATAGACCTTCAAGTTGTGTTCATTTGAAAATTCACGAGAACTTACAAAAAGGATGCAAAAATGTCATACATACGGATCGACAGTAAGCGTATATGTGAATTTGATTTGTTCGACTCAGTCGCACAGCGGAATTGGACGCAAAACGATCAGAAGGCAAATCGTAGTGAACAGCAGTGGACGTTTTCCTACCTTGTGCCAAAGTCGTCAGTTGCAGTTCCAACTGTTTCTGCGAAACTTCCAGTTCGTGGATCGCCTTATCAAGCTTTCCTAAACTCGGCTCGAACAACGACAGGATTCCGCTGGTGAGTTCATCAACCACTGATGGTCCACTCGACGGCTTGGAAAAATCGGAGGTAGACTTGTGAGGATTATGACTAGCAGTTTCTGAGCTACTGGCTGGGTCTGCAATAGAAGCTTCAGCGTCTAGGTTACTGCAAGGAACAAAGTTCATATGAGGATGTGCGGACCACGTAAGTGTGGAATCATCAAGGGAGGCTGAAAAACAAGAGAAAAATGTGCGCAGAGTGTAATTGGATAAACAAACGAACAATTTCAATTACAAAATTATCCCTGCAAACATCACGACGCCAGCCGTCTAGTCTCCGAAGTCATGGCCCGTGCGCCACGAGATTCGTGTGGGGGGGGGCACTCACTAGAATCCGAAATAAACACATTTTTGGGGTTCTTCTGTAAACACTGCTGTAGTCACGAACGAAACATCAAACAGCGCCAGAATAAACGCTTATCCTACATTTGACCTAAAAATAAAAACGTGAACCGACAAGCGGTGATCGGTCTGAAGAGCGAAAGTCCACAAAATGTGGATAAGATGCTCCGGTCACCTTATTTCTTGCGCAACGGTAGATTTATACTTCCCTCTTCGTAGATCGAGCATAAGGCGTGAAAAAATCGCCCAACCTCCACGGTCCACGCTGCTGAGAACCATTGTGCAGCCAGTCATCGAAAGCATAAGAATAACACCCAGAATTATGAGGACGAGTTTCTTTTTAACTAATCACCATGATTGATAACTAATCTGGTGTGAACAGCCACTCACTACTAGAAGGATCCGACACCTCATCATCAGCTGCTAAAGCGCTAGCGCAGATCAATAACACACACGACTTAAATGATGAAGTGACCACCTACCCCGAACGAACTACAGGATTTGGAACTGTAGAAGCGATGTTGCGGAGCAGAAGTCATACGTACAGCACGCGGACACACAGTAAGACAATCTAGCCTTGAGAGATTCATGGATGCCGCAATTCAACCTAGCCGCCATAAGACATATGTCCCTTCTGATACAGCTGACTCGACGACAATGGGAAACAACTCACCCCGAGAAATGAAGCCAAATACTAAGATGTTACTTGGAGGCGGAAAAATTTCTCGGAGGGTCCACGAATTCCTTAGGGTGATGAGGTTTGGCGAAGACAAAATGTGTTTCACCAAAGGAGGGAAGCCTGCAACTATCAGGGATTCTTACGAATATGCAGCGGCAGAGGGTTGATAAACCGCTGCATGTTTGACAAATAAATGAAGCTTGTTGAATTGAACTCAGCCGTAACCAAGGTACCTTTAGAACACTGTCAGTAACTAAAAAGTAGATAAGAATCATGATTTCACGTAAAACTTCCATTTGAAAAGTCGTCACTCGAGGAGCCAGTCAATATGTGACCCGTTATATGATGAAAAGTCGTCACTCGAGGAGCCAGTCAATATGTGACCACGTTATATGATTTCCCTCAATGAAACTGAGTGTTGTTATGTTCTGTCTGAAAGAGAGCTAACTAGAGAGCTGATCGCTGATCGTGGTCAAAGGGTAGGAAGGTTGTGGGTTCGAGATAAATCCCAAAAAGGATGGAACAGCTGCTCAATAATTCTAGGTTTTTTAACATACGCTGGCTGCACTGAAAGGACGAAATCTCTATTGAGTAAATACCTGAAACTGTTCACACCAACAATGAAACACAGTCACTAACAAATGTGAATAAAGAACGAATAACAGAGTTAACTGTACGAACAGATGACGTTAGAGGCAAAATAAACTGTTGCTCAAGTTCCATATTTATTTTCGAAACTTTGGGAAAAAGGGGGCGAGGGCAAAATAAACACATGAAAGCGAGACACTGATGTAGCGATGCGAAACAACAATGTACCGATGGATCGATGGAGACAGAGGGTAGACGGGGACACAGCCAATAGGAATGGATGATTCCTGAATAGGGGTCATTCGTACCGAGGACAAATCTGGTATAGTTCAACCAGTGTAAAAAAATCAAAACCTGGAGTAAAAGACCGAATGAATGGAAACTTCTGGAAAGCAAGTATACAAATATCACATATGCAGGTCAGGGTAAGGATGTAATGTGCTGTACTGCAATTCATGGACTCTTCAATCAACGACATCGGTTAAAATTCGAAAAGCGGCTAAAATGAGTGAGGACAGTTACAAAACCGGCAGTATTTGGTGACGAGTAGTCGAATATGTACATGACCGATTTTCGTATGGAGAAAGGATGACCGTTCCGTGGAAGTTTACTTCCGAGCGTTGTTACCACGACCAGGTGCAGCAGATGGAAGGGATCGGACCGACGCATTGTTTCTTAGCGACCTAGGAGTAGGTAAGAAAAGAGATGGGATGTGAGAAATCCGAGCTGTTCCCGACATCTTGCATTGAAACATTAATATGATAATAAGTCTGCATTTCCAAGTTCTAGCGAGAGCGTGAGGCAATGCACATAAAAAATCGCACAGCTGTAGCACCCGTTCGGTGCCTAAATGCCATACCGCCCGAAGGTTGTACGAGGGCTGGGATACTGCCAGGCTGCCTAAACCTAGACAGGGGATGTCGAAAGTCAGAAGTCCAGTTCGAACCACGGACCTTTCGGTCGGTAAATTCGCGCACTAACCACTTGGACCAACTCGCACAAAACCCTTTAGAAGTAGGTCGTTTCGATAGGAAACGTGGCTTTTACACCAGCTCACTATAGCCGCTTTGTACGTTCGTCTGTCCGACAAGAGGGATGTGTTCTGATTAAAAGTTGTACAAACGGTCACCAGAATCTCGTGCTTAACAGTGGAGTTCGCCGCCCAAGTCAAACATTTTGCACTTCCAAGTACTACTTATTTGTGATAGTGACGAAGCCAGTTGGTCTACTGCAAAGCATCCAAGACAATAACTGTGGTAATGACAAGCACCAAATGTCACTATGCTGTCCTGATGGTACATATGCATTGGATGAGAGCGTGGGGACGGTCCTAGTACGATTAACACGTTGACGTGACAGCCTACTCACGAGGACACTTCCCAAAAGGCGTCATTTCGGAGACTAGTAGTGAGGAGGGATACTCGAAACAACCAAACATCATGTTATCTGGGCAGATGTATGAAGAGCCGACTACTGAAGTGCGCCTACTGGCCGGATTTTTGGGTTAATAAGAATCGAGTTCTTTTTTTAACTCGGCACTCCTCGCGCCATAAAGAAGATTCCACCGTGAACTTGTGATTGATTCTATGACTCTCATATAAACACGGCTGCAGAAATGTTGCTCTGTTTTGTGAGTGTCTTAAGCCACTCTACACTTTGATATATCACGCTATACGGAACAGTAAGATAAGGATTAGCATATACGTTTTGAAACCACAAAAGAGCTAGATAATGTTTCCAATAGGCCTCAAATGGAATGTTACTCGTACACGAGACTGCAAAACGGGCCCTCTTAACGAACGGTGCGCCTTCTTTTCTATGTGCGTGGACCATGAACGGACCAAGTATAAAGTGGCAATACCTAAATAAATCCAAACAACAGTGACTGCAGAGTGTTAACCAAAGCAAAGTGCTCATCCTGTAGAGCGATGCTTTCTCTTATTAACGGTGTTTTGGGTGGAATTTACAATGTAATGGTAATGTGAGATAGGGTCATTTCCAGTCAATATCCGCTGAAAAGCCGGAAACCATTTTACAGCTGTTTCATTCATTTTGGAAATTATTAGCAAGGCGCATCTCACGAAACTCCACGAAGTCTCGAGCCCGCAGCCTCCCGGCTAGTATTTCAAAACTCTCTGGATGATTCCAATAAGGATAAAGCAACTAAACATGCTTCTCGGCTTTTCAACACAGTTTGGCTTAATTTACTGGGGGCATTTTCCCAACGTCCTGGAAAACCAATTTTGACCAATTTTACGGAAGGAAATTCCCCTGTATAGAGTAAACACCTTGCGTATTTTCTCAATTCCGGCGAGATATTCAAATTCTGTTGCATATATCAGACAATTTTTTGACATACTTGTGGAGCCAAACAACGACCATGAATACATGAATGGTAGGAATGTCATGATTCAAAACGTACTCGTTTGATAGCTGTTCATCATTTCTAGTGTTAACTGCTCTTGTATTCTTCGGAATATCAAATCCGGTGCGCCCCCAGATTCAGCTACACACAGTTTACTTCCACAGACTGATCGATGTATGTGGTCGTGACCGGTAAATCAGCTATAATTAGGGTTACAGCAATTTCAAGCGGGCCAGATTCAACAAGTTTCTGTGGGCCACAGAGAGCAGAAGTTTTGGTGGTTACTTAGTACACAAGGAATATTTTAACTAGTATATATATGTATATATACATATATATGTATATATATGGAGTAACATTTATATGTTACTTAGTGCATACGGAATATGTCCTCATCAACCCAGGTGCTTAAAGAAATATTAAGCTTTTTTAAGAATTGAGCAGTACGCGGCAAGACAACGAAACCAGGAATGTGTCGTTCAACTGAAGTAAAATAACGGAATCACTATCGTTCCCTCGTACCGCTAACACGTTGCTGAATGTTAACCAAGCTCACTCGCACCCGGTACTATTCAAAAAGCTTACTACTATCACTTAAAGCCTACTACGTAATTCGTATAGCTGTAACACCCTTCCGATGTCTAGCTGCCATGCCACCCGAAGGAAGCATGAGGGCTGGGGTACTGCCAGGTTGACCAAGCCTAGACAGAGTTAGTCGAGAGGCAGAGGTCGGGTTCGAGCCGCGGTAAATTCGCGCTCCAACCACTTGAGCCTACTACGACCGAGATATGAACCATGACAGCTGTGATAAAAATCTGGTTAGCAGCAACCGCAACACGTAATGATAAGGTAGTATTTATGATGTGCTGTACAAGGGTCATCTATACAAGGGTGAAATATGGTTTAGAGTATAAACCACGCCATAGCGACCAGTCTCACTAGATTTTGCTGTTCACTGAGGCGTGGTCGTTCAGAGTGAGGTGTGAGCTGCGGTCAAAATTCCACTCACTTGTCAGGTCCTCGTGGGCTTGGCAGACTATTACTCCGATCAGTGGGAGGTGTTAGGACAGGAGAGGGTTGGACCAAATGGAGTCTGCTGGATAGGGGGCGTTGGGTGTTTTGGCGCTGCACTGCTTCATCGCGTAATCGCCGCAGCTGATCCATCAGTAGGTCGTTGATCATGTGAACCCATCGATCGCGCGCGGAGGCATCGGCAGAACAAAACACGTAGGTTTGGGCCCGATTGGCCGTCCAAACGGCAAACCGGCGTCGGTCTTGTCGTACACTAGGGGTGAGACCAATCTGGGCCAGCTACAATATGACAACACGCGGATAGAAGAAATAATTAGCGAAAATTTTGCCCTCTCACTAGAATGGAACTACATCGAGTTTTGCGAAATAGCAAGTGAAGATTTACTCTATTGTGAAGTTGGTTTTCGACAGCTCGATAGAAACCAGGCAACGAGCGAGTAAGCAAGGTAAGTGTCAAATATGAAACACAGTTTGGATGAATTCTTGCTGGGTGCGAAACCCGTGCGCTCCCCACAAGTAAGCGTTCAGTGTGCACGAACTGGATATGCCGCCAGAGAACGGACTTTCAAGTCACTTGTGTCCCTCAGGAAAGAGATCGATCGCGACTGATCCTCTCAAGGTTAATTTCATGACAATTTCCCCAGATAAGAGGTCATTACTCATGGATGCTTTGAATTGGTCTCCCTAGTGGGATCGCAGTAGATCCTTGGTTACAAAACCTATCACCAGCTAGAGATCAAACACAAACCATAGACGTAATGATCACCGGTTGTCTCCAAGATGACGAAACCTGAGTAAATACTGCTCGAGTTGAACGACATACAGCTTCAAGCAGCCAGGAGAACGAGTCATGAAATAAATACTGGATCCATGAAGGCTGCAAATTCGTACTTCGACTTTGGGGTTTAATCTTTCTGTTTGTTCTTTGTCAGACAGGATTTTTAGGATCGCACCTCACCTGCGACTTTACACCCAGGTAATAAAAAGTATCGATCGATCGTGAATAGGTGTGCAGTCAGGTGAGCAAAATCAGTGCAAAAAATTGAATCCTCTTATTGGGCGCTATTACGCAACACCTCAATGAACAAAGTGAAAGTGACCAGCAGCGAGCTCCCATGGGGCAAAACAAGAACTCACAATTCGTCATCCTGTTAGCACTCCTCTCTACTAACTCTGGTACTGTCTATTTGGCACTTCAATCATGCTTTACGTGTACGTGCATGACATAAAACCTGGAAGCATGTCGCGGCAAGTTGGTAGCGGAAAGATCACCCATCTCCGAGTCGAGAACAACCATCTGACTAGAGACAGTATTAAAGCGTGTATTTCCAATTTCCAGAGTGCAGTAACCATCCAACCGAACCGAAATCCAACGAGACGAACACACATGCATAATGAATCGTAAGATCGCAATGAAAAACGCGATAGACCAAACTCTCACCAGCAGTTCTCCACGAACTTCATAGACTGGACCAGAATCCACAGAACCCGAGGCACTCGATCCGGGCATACTATTACTGCTGCCGACCAGACCATGGGACTTGACCAAAGATACTATGTTTGAGGGGACAGTGGCCAAGGAGTGAAAACTTCCAGCACGAGTATCGGACGGCAAATGTGGGTCTAACACAGTCACAGTTCCCTGTCGAATCATTGGCACAACATGGGTTGTTGAGGCACGGAATTTAGTCAGGAGAATAGCATTGGTAAACAGGAATGCGTGACGTTGTTGGGTTGATCGAGAGTCGTCTCGCGCAATGGTGAAATCACCCCTAAGCAAAAGTGGTCCCAGTTCGGAAGGGCGTATCTGTAAGGGTATGTGTAATTAAAAAATATTGTATACGCTGATTAGAAAAGCAGAAATCTGACTAGCGTACAAAATGGGATTCCAGAGAAGTCATTTGAAACAGATAGTTGTAGAGAATAAATTAAGGTAAAGTGGCGGTATCCTATTTGCGACAGAATGAAAAATTTAAAGGGCGATTTTTTCGACTTACAGGAGCAACAGTAACTTTCAAAGTCTCAGGGGTGAGAGATCACTTTAGTAGTGGGCATCCGTGTCTTCTTAAAAAAAACTTTAGAACCCAGGTACGATCTAGAGGGTTCCGAACTCATCTAAAAGGAGCGCATACACCCAAAATTTATGAGGGAGGAGGCTTCAATCACCCTTAAGGTGGTCAAAACAGGATGATACCTGGTTGTATACATCAATATTCCAGTTGAGCACCGCTCAAGGATGCTCAGCATCTGTAAAGCACCGAACAACACCTCAGACATATAAGGTGCATCAAAAGATTTCCGAATCGGCGGTTGATCAGGTCAAAATAGGTTTAACCAAGCTTTACAAGCCGCCGGGTAGTGAACATTTAGGGATATTTGCTACCCTACTTTTGCAGTAGGTCGTATCTCTGACCGAGAGAAGCTGGGCGCAATAATTTCTAAAGAGAACGGAGCTGATAGTCCATTCACCGAATCAGGCGTGTGGAATGAGTACGTTAAAAAAACAAGTCAGCTGGCCTTCCTTAATAGAGGCTCCATAAGAACGCCACGAAACTCAATAGAATGTAGAAATCAGATCTTAACGAGCAACAGAAATCTGACATGAGGTAGAGTGCCATCGATGTCTTAAGGCATCCACCAATACAATCCGTTAGGATGGAAAACACAATACCCGGTAAAATGGGATGATCCCAGCCATCCGACATGGCATAAGTACGTCGTCCGAAAATCACCATGATCTCATCCTATGAGGCGTGACATCAAACAGTCGGCTACTTCATGCTGTACATGTTGACAGAATACGATGAGAGACAAATTCATATGAACTAAGCTGCGTTTTGCCCTGGTCCACGACACAGTAAAAATACCTTCATTTTAAGAAAGGCACTCACGCAGAATACTCTTTCAAACAAGAAACAGCTGTTTTTATTCACCCAAAAAATGCTTTTGATTCTATCAGCGGCAAGAATGTTCGGCAGCATACAGGCATCGCCTATGACCTAACAAATAAGTGTGGAATTCCTAACCAATAAACTCAGCCCGATTAAAAAGAGACAACACCTTCCGGATGGTCAACGCGGAACGCGACACGTATACGATTAACCACAGAAGTGGCTCAGTCACACGGCCAGTAGAGCTGCTTCACGAATAAGAACAACGTAACGTCGTTCTCAACATGGAAATATCCTTACCATGTTACCTCACGAACCAAACTTTAGCGACTGGGACCAAAGCACTTTTGGCACACGGTTCATACCTCAGTAATCTAAACGAACCCAACTTTCCCCAGTAATGGGATTACCAAACTGGTGACAGGATAGAGTCAAAAACCTGTCTCCCAGTTTGAATCCAGGTTGCAGCCAGTAGTTCGTGTTTCAATCGTGCCACTCTTGGCTGACACCCTTATAGTTCGTTAATGTGTGACGACTTTTACGAGAGTCCGTGACTCATATGCAGTTTTTACTCGAGAAAGCACATCAAACCTGGAGGGTGTATTCAACCCGATACGCAGCTATTCGGCAAGTTACGATGCGATCGTGGTCAGCCTCAGGATTACTACCATTCGGAGGTATCCGATCGGACAGAACTACACGAAAATCGTCCTATACGGAAAGCATGTGAGTAACCACCTAAGCTTAGTATCAAAAGTTTTGTAAATGGCCAACAGTTTGGTGTAACAGTAGAATGACACTGAATGGAATATAACATGAGCCGATTCATCATGGTCATACTTGGTCCTACACAAACCTGATTGACTACTACGTTTCTCATCTGTTGTCTTTTTAATTGCCAGCGGTACATTCCTGTGCACAAGGGTGAGCTGCAGGTCAACAAATACTCACGACAGTGCTAAACAGCACGCGTCAGTATGTTAATGTTGACCGCACGAGAATAGCTAATGAGTCAGATATCCAAAAACGCGAGTGATAATTGATTTTTCTGGTACGCCACCAAATCACCAAAAGGCCGGTCGACGGAATAATGTCATTCACCGTATTGAGTTGGGATGTAAAGGGACCTGAACAGTGGGAGATTAGCTTCCAGAGATCATAATTTTACAAGCGAGAAATTTCACATTGGAAACAAGCTGAGGTTGGCAAGTTAGCCTATCATGAAACAACACTCCGATACCGACTTTTGGAAAAATGCCGCTGGGGTGCAGATTTCACTGACAGCCAATGGGTCGCGACGGTCCCCAAAAAAATGTCAAAAAACTATTGAGTGAATAATGTTCAAAGTCAAATTTGAGACGATATAGTAGATATACCTCTACCCAACATTACAACGATTCATCGACCAATCGAGAGTCGGGTGCCAGTTTAATCGACCAATCCTAATGAACGACCACCATTAGGACAAGGTGCGAACGAATCAATGGAACAGCAGTTCTAGACTGATCACGTGAGCAATACCCGCGACTTGTCGGACGATCGTATTGTTTTAAGCTAGCAATTCATCTAGGTAGCCAACAAAACAAGCTTAATGAGTGCGTGAAACTTGTAACTGGTTTATTCCAGTTTACACTATCCCACAAGGGTCAATTATTTCTAACCGAATTCACAGATGGGACAACATTCGAAAGAAGATTCAGTGAATGCGTTTTGATTCTGCTGCTAGCCGGTTAAACTTACCGACAGTCCACGAAGTCTCATGGTGAGATTTACTGCCTCGCACATATCCAGCATCGCTTTGTGAGCAGCTGTGAGATCTTGGCTGAAAACAAAAGGTATCCCTTGATTAGCGAGTAAAACCAGTTGGCCGCCTGTTACAACACAGAAAGCTTCGTCCGGGTCTGATATAGATTCAACTCAAACTTAGCTCGGCGATAAAAGATGCATCAACCGATGATTATGTATGGATCATAATATTCATTAAATGATGGTTTGAAATCAATGAGTAAATCCATCTGAACAAAAAAACGGCGGTCAAGTCAACTGCTAACGGAATGTGTGACTCTGCCAGATCGGATAAGACTTATCCTCGTTTTCTATAGAGGAAAATGTTGGTAGCTCAGGTAGCGTAGATGGTCGTTGGCTTGTTTGCTGAGCTGGGCACATCCACTAACCCATCGCTACGCACCGCTACGCTCCCCAATAACGCACTGATGTCACCTCGATTGGTGATGAAACGTTTGCAATCAAATTGCCCACCTCAGTGAACAAGTCAACGGCCACTTATCCTCGTCATTCATCTGAACTGAATAATCACGGATTGGAAACACTGTAGGACAACTGTTATTTCAAAAAAACATACTTGATCGTTACAAACACACCGGAAAGAGCAGTTTTGGTGGTCATTTTAGGTGAGTGATCTCTACAGAGGTAAGACTAGCGCATATGAGCAACCAGGGCCCCGAGAGCTATTTTTATGCGAGATTGTGTGCAGATGATGGCTGTAGTCGCAGCTTTGAACGGAGGGTGAGAACAAAACAGCACTAAATACTACCGCTGAGAGCATAGTGTTCGGTATAAACCGCGTACTTAGATGCAGCGGTTCCGGTTGTCACTCGTCTTTACTGACCATCAACAGGATCATTGGGAATGAAGGCGGATTTCAGACTTTACCCGTTTGGAGAGGACCTTTTTAGTGATCAGCGGATAGAAGCATGCAAACTTTTTGTTGGTCTGCCTTGGTTTGCTGTAATCCAGACAGCATTAATGGGTGTTTTTTCGGTTGAAAGTGAACAAGTCACTAGAAAAATCAGAACGACAGGACTTCGAAAGGCAGGTGCACGTCGATTGCGAGAATCAGATGTTCATTGCATAATTGCTCGCAGGTATCTGCCGGCATGGCGCTGTCAAGTGGTCAGTGGCTCTATTAACTTTGTACTTTTTTCAGACCAAAATACCTATCATAAAATGCACCAAACGTTGCTATATACTGCGGAGACACTAACGACGTACACGGTTCATGGTCGTCAGACCGATCTGAGCTATGCTTTTCGACGCCCCTAAAAGCGTATTTTGTTCTACAACTTTCCCTCACAGCAGCTAAGACTATTATGCTTAATCGCCAAGTAAATACGCAAATGAGAGAGATACAATACATGCATCTTGGCTAAAAAGTGGATCCCACAAAAAATTTAGAATCAGACATTATCCTTGAAGAAGAGACAGTTATCCTCCCTCTTGTGGCAGTTTTTTCTACTAATCTGCATTCTGGAAGAATGCAGCGGAGTTACTTGGAGGTCTTTTGTTTAGGAGCTGGAGGCGTCAACCAGACGGTAAGCTCAGAGTCCTCAACCCTATCTACAGAAGGAAACTTCACGCACATCGCGAGACTATTACAGCAAACTCGTGATTCACCTATGGTGGTGACGGGCAAAAATGACAATAAAACCAGACAAGAACACTTCTGCTTCATTGCCATGTGGAAAAATGGATAACTACGTACCGGTCGGACTCTGTTAAGGCCAGACGCAATAAGTGGCTGAGCAGTAGGTGGTATCGCTGAATCCGTTGAACAGGTGTGACAAGGCGTGAACTCAGTTGTAATACTGGCCTAGCAACTGACTCATTCGGTGCTGTGGGCACTGCTGCTGCGTTTGTTGAGGCGGATTCCCGGCGACCAATCTCCTCGGAACAAGCATTCATCCAGGAACTGTAGACACGATCGCGTTCGAGCTGAACAGCAATCTGGACTGCGTTTGACTGCGATGAACAGTAGACTGAATATAGATCTACAAGTTGTGGAATCTGGCGAAAAACAAAGAGTAACAAACGGAGTAGTATGGTCCGTTGCTAGGGTGAGGTGAAATGGCCAACTGATTTCCAAAAACTGGGTGTCCGTTTAAGCCTAAAAATATTTAATCGAAAAGTGATGTGCAAACAGGACATTCAATATTCACCCATCTGTGGCTAAAGTAGGCCACACTGTTCTGCCGTCCAAATAGACGGTAAAAAACGACACTTGAAGTTCATCAACCGAAAGAACTCCTTTAATCGCGGTCCAAATGAACATCGTTTAGATGCGTCAGCCTGCAATATGTCGCTCTTAGTGGTTTCCGATCGACGAAAAAATACCGTGACGAGTTGCATTGGGTGATGAAGAGTCAAACAGGCTTTTGATATACATGTTGAAATGCATGTTTAAACAAACATGCTGTACGATAGCGTCAATGTGAGGCACGAAAATGGTAAGCTTTAACTACTGACCCACGGCTATTCCATTGTCCACTGGAGTGTAAACGTTTTCGAATTATTTGTGGTCAGGTCCGTTAACCATCAGAGGTTAAACAGCCGACGATCAGTTCCG